AAAATATTGGGTTTAAAGTTAAATTTTCAATTTTTAATTTTGATTTTTCAATTATCCCAAAGTTAGCATTATAAATTAATAAAATATAAATCGTTTGAATGTATGTGTTTGCCGATCGCAGCTCTAGAGTATTACAGATGATTGCACAATGCGAGCTCTAGTTCAAAATTGTAGAACACAGTACGCAAGCGAAAAAAATTTAAATTTTAAAAAAATAATTTTTGAATTTTTAATTATAAACTTGCGCTTATAATTTTTTCACATTTTAATTAAAAATTAATTTTTAAATATGCTTGCATGGACAAATGTTTTATTAAACAAGAAAGGCAACTGAACAATATTCGAGCAAATATTTGAGATCGGATCACTATAGTATTCAGCTGCCATACAAACTGATCGATCAAAAAACAGTCCTTGTATGGAAAACTTTTTTATTTGACGAGATATCTTCAGGAAATTTAGCATGGATTATTATCTAAAGCAACAGTAAAATCTCCGACAAAAGTGATCAGATCGAACCACTATAGCATATAGCTGCCATACAAACTAATCGATCAAAAGCAAATTAAAGATCTTTGTATATGTCTTTTTTGCCATAAAAATGTACTAGTGAAGGGTATTATAGCTTCAAGTTAACGTTTTCGTTCAAATTTTCGAGATTACAAAATAAAATTAAAAAAATGTATTTAAATGTTAATTCTATTATATTTTTAATGCATTATTTGCAACCCTAATATTAACCGATATCTTTACAATTCGAATTTTTTTCGAAACTCTCTCGAATCTTCACAGCCCTAATACAAACCAATTACAATGTTTGAAAACAAATTAAAAAAAAAAAAGTTTGCTTATAAGTTTGTAAACCAACCTTGTGAAATAAATTAAAATGCATAATAAAAAATTTTTAAATATGCAAAATGTTTTAAAATATTATACATATAATTAGTTAGACTTAAAAAAGGTATGCCATAGAAAGAAAAGCAATGAGTTTTACCTGTACTTAAAATTATGTTTTAATAATGAAACAAAATTTAAATGAATGTTTGTGAACATATTTATATATATTTTTTATGTGAACTTTTTGCTAAATTTCTTTATTAATGTATGTAAGCATTCGAAAATCTTAATGCAATTCTAAACAAAACTAGTGTAAGCCTAGTACAGCGCTTGGTTTACCATTGCTTGAATAAAATTAATGCTAAATTTATTTAATAAAATTTTTTTTTTTGGACTAAATAAGTTGCAAAATTTTGAACTGTGTGCAATATTTGAGATTTCCTTTTTAGTTTTTGTTTTAGTTTTCAATTTCGTGTATATATGTACATAATAATGACTTAATGACAACGGTATTACAAGTCAAAAGGTATTTGAGTATTTCGAGTATTTGCTTATCAGAGTATTTTAGCTACATAGTAAGTTATGTAAGTGCAGTTAAAACTCGTGTCGTTGCGTTACGTTAAAAATCTCACGAAACTAGTGTAAATCTACGGATACACATGTATTTAACAGAAAACTAAAATTATTGCTTTAAAACTTATTTTTTAAAAACTAAATAAAATTGTTTATTAATACATTTGTATATATGTATGTAATACATTTGTATATATGTATGTATATAATACATTTATATATATATATATGTGTATTGTATGTATGTATACATTTGTATGTTTTAAAATGGATTTAACTATGGCTTTACGCAAACCGCTATTAGGAGACTTTTACCTTCACTCTGTGTATACTTGTATGTATGTATGTGTGTGTTTATGAGTATTTCTCGTAAAGTAGTGAAAACTAAATAATAAACTATGCGTATGAGTTGACAATGGAAGCGCGCTTCGAGGTTTCTCAAGTGTCTTTCACAATTCACAATTAAATCAAATTAAAATTGATTTATTCGCAGCAACAACTACTACCAGCTCGCTATTCAAGTCACAACGAGTGTTGCACACACACACACGCACACTTTTTCACTTTTCGTAAACATGTATGTGTGTATGTACATTTGTGAGTGTGTGTTTAATCATATTTTGCGCATGCGCGCTTGAAGAGTTCCTCGATTTTCTCCCTCGGTCCCTGCACGATGAGCATAAATTGCGATGGAAAGTCCCAAATGATGGTGAAATGGAAAAGCATATTCGCTATGGCGATCACATACTCGAAGAAGGCGAACCAACTAAAGGCTGTGAAGTTAATGAAAAATATTAATTTTTTTTTATTAAATTTTAATATTATTTCAAACACATTAGCGAACGCACCCAAATCATGACAGTAGAAACGATGCTTGGCGAAGAATACCAATAAACCGACCGTGCTCACTATCGAGGTGATGAAGAGTATTTTCTTCCATTTGATGGACTCCCGTTGTGTGGGCAAGAGTTTGTTTTCGTCCTCGAAGAGCATACCGTGCAGTTTAATCGTGGCCAACATGTAGCAGAGTGAGCAAACCATAAATGTGATGAAGATTTTCTCGTGAACCGCTGGGGAAGAGAAAAAAGTTACAGTTAAATGAGTGGTTTAAGAAGGGAATTACAAAGCTGTGTTTACAATTATGTATACAAATTTTACACAAGATCTGATGTACACACATACATGGCTGTATTAAGTTGGTATAGTTCAACTAGTCGGTTACAAGGTCTTACTCAAAAACAATCATAAAACTAAACTATTTCACCTCGTCGTTATTTAGGCATTGGAGTATAAAGAGTTCTAACAAAATGAGAGATCCGAGCCACAGAAATCCTTTCGCTTGTCTTCGAAACAGAAAGAAAAGTCTCTCATATAATCCAAAGGATTTTAAAATCACTATTAGCCGCCTAAACAGATTAGATGATGATGGACTCAAAGCGCTTCTTGAATATATGAGAGTTTTTTGACTCATATCCAGAAATTGTGGGATCACCAAGGAGGCGTATTTTAGCTGTCGAAATGTGTGCGAACTCCGTCGCGGAGCTCAGCTCCGAAACCTAACTTAACTAAAGAACTTAATTTGACCTAGCGATCGATGAGATAGCAAAATTTCATACTGTATCGACGACAGTTGAATCTGAATAAACAGAACGAACCCTGTTTCATTCCTAATCAAAGACTAGTACCTCAACAGCATTCTCAAAACTGTTTATAAGATGTTTTATGCCGCTAAAAGTAGTTAGCGACCCACTTTACTCTCCTGATTAGCAAGAACTTATCCACTAACTCATTCTTATCCAACGCACCGATAATATGGTACATCCAATTGTCAGAAATGTGTCTTACGTAGTAGTTAAGAGTATCAGATATTCTTCAAAAGATTAAAACCTTGGATCTTTATTTGGCTGAAAACCGTTATTGTTATCTAAATTTTATGCACGAAATAGAGTTTTAAGCCGTTCCTGAAGATTTGACGGTTTTTGGCAGAATTAAACTTCATAGTAGCTGTGGAAGAGCAATCAGTACTCGAGAAAAACTTTTTTTCACTGAGTATTTGGAAACAAAATCAGGTCCACCTTACCAATCTATAACTTGAACAGGCTGTTAACATTAACAGTAATTTGTCACTTTGTGTTTACAACTAATTTCCTTTGATCCAGATTGGACCATTTAAACTACGTACGCCGAATTTAGCATTGACCTGCTTGTGTTGACCATATTTTGAAGGCGATAATAAAGTTTTGTATTAAAATAGATGTAGCTTTTTTGACAGTCCGGGTCAAATTTGATCAAGTGGTAAATTAAGTTCACTTAGTTGAAAAAATCAATTTTAAGTTCTTTGAAGGGTCTTAAGCTAATCGAAGTACTCAAAAATAATCATAAAACTAAATAGTATCGCCTCGTCGTTATTCAAGCAACAATTAATGGGCAGTAGGGTGGAGCAAAAAAAAAATTTTTTTTTGCTTAACCTGAGGGTAAAATCTGTAGATTATAAAAAAAGAAAATTTTTGGATAAAAAACTAAAAAAAATTTTTAACATCTAGAGGCGGCGCACTCAGTTTTTAAGTTAATTTTCGAGTTAAAATTTTTATTTCGTAAAAAAATATTGATAAGTGTTCTAGAAACTGTGGAGAGTCCTCTTTCAGGCCAAATAAAAGTTATCAACTTAAAAAAAGTGTTTGTGGCCATTATTGGAGTTTTGAAAAAAGATCTCAAACGACAACATGCTTTCCTTAAGCGTTAGAATAAATTTTGAGTCAAAAACCGTCGGTAACTTTTATATAAATGTAAAAAGTTTAAACCAAAAATATTTTTTTTCTGTTTTTTTTTGTCCAAAAAAAATTGTTTTTATAATCTACAGCTTTTACCCTCAGGCTAAGCAAAAAAATAATTTTTTTTTTGTTCCACCCTAATGGTCAGGGTGTCAAAAATTACAACTTAGTGAAAGAACTTATTCGATTATGTTTTACAAGTTTGAAACCGACCAGAAGGAGCGGATGGATTTGTAGAAGTTTTTTTTTTTTGAGGGATTTTTCTAATTTAATCATCTCGTATTTGAAGCAAATTTCGAATAAGTAATAGTGTTATATAATATTATGTATATTCAAAACTGTTTAACAAGGGATTATAGTTAAGAAAATATGCTACTAGGATGGGATACTGCGAATCCTAGTCCCTGTAAACCGCTTTGAACTCGCTTCAAAAACGTAACTTTTCCAAAAATAAACTTAAATTATTATACTTACGATAGTTCTCCCTATTCGAAATGTAGGTGACACCGCCCAACGATGAAATTTCGATGAGATTCAAAATTAAGATTATGGTTATCATTAGATCGGCCTTTGGCACCAGATGCGGCCGACGTTGCTGCAAATTGGCCAACATGCTGCGATAAAAGTTCTTATAGACGAAGGCGATGGGCAAACGCGGTCCAATATGTAAGGCAATACTCAGGCGCCAGAAGTAGCGTTGTGGGCTGACACCGGTAATGGCACTTATCGATGGTACAATGTTGTAGACCTACAATCGAACACAATTGAAAAGCCATTAAGTCTGACTAATAAATAGGCGATATATGAGCAATACTTACACGGCAATGCGTTTCGTGCACATCATCATATTGGAAGACGTACGCGGTGACGAAGCAGGTGAATAGCGTCACCAATGGAAGCAGTGCAGTCACCACACAAATCTGATGGAAGCTAGCCAAGTAGTGTACGGCTAATGGCAGCGCTGCCGACGCAGCAGTCGTTGACGTCGCTGACAGCGAAGCCATATCTGTGACTGTTGCCGTAGCCGAGTCGCCATTAGCGCCGACCGTTGTTGTCGATGTTGTTGTTAAATACTGCAGCCGGCGGCAGGAAACGTGAAAAAAGTAATGCAAAAAACAACAAAAAGTTTTAGTGGCAGAGAAGCTTGTTAAATGGAGAGCGATAAAAGCGAAAGTGTGCTCTGTGGTAATGTCACTCATACGCCATGGCTGCCCGCATTTTACACAAGCTGTAGTAGATAGCAGGCATGGCAAACACGCAAACAAAAAATTAAAAAAAAGACATGAAAATCAATAGAGGGTAATAAATTACTTGAAAGCATCTCATGACAACTCATCAGCGCTGATAATAAAAAGGTGACAGCGCTCGTTTGTGTCTAACCACAAGGACTCGACTACATCGAAGCATATGTATGTATGTATGTATGTACAGGTATTTGCGCCAATTGCCAATTTAACGTTTGTACAATTTGTGTTTGGCTTTAAACGCGAGCATGCTAGCAATTTGCGTTAATACACGACTACGAGGGTTACCTATAATGTTATGAGGTTAACCGATATCTTCATTTCCATAGCCAAATTTTAATTTATTTCGACATATAGCGACATAAATTATTTTATTCGCTTTATTTCAAATTAAATAAAATTTTAAAATTCATATTTACTTACAGGTTAGCAAGTAATGCATTTAAATTCAATTTAAGTTAAATTTTTATTTTTTGTAATTCCGAAAAATTTAACGAAAAATTATTTTCAAGTTTCTTATTCCTAATGCCGAATTGCAAAATTAAAAATAAATTTTGAATCCCCCAAAAATTTAAATTTTAATACCAAATACCGGATTGAAAAAACAACATGTTAATTCCAAGTTTATAATTAGAACATAAAAAAAACATTATAATTGAATTTTAAACTACATATTTCGCGGTTGCGTACTTCTCTTTCCACCATTTTGATTAGCTTTTGGAAAGGTAAGCTTACTTTTAATAAAATATTAACATAGCTTAGCAATTTTTTTCTTAATTACTTTTAATTACTCTTAATTATAGTTTTTCAGTTAGAAAGTTTTTTTATGAAAAATTTTTTTTATATTTGTTATTACGATTTTTTAATTAGAAAATATTCAATAAATTTTTTTTTCCAATTTTGGTTTTAATTAAATTAAATTTAATTTTCAATATTTGATTCTAATTTCAGAACAGAATTAAACTTTCATCTTTTAATTCAGATTTTGAAATTAAAAATTTTATTTTTTGTTTTAATAAATATTTGAATAAATATTCAGATTTTGGGTTAACAAATATCAAAAATAAACATAACGGTGCTAAATAAAAAAATTATTAATCATAATAATCCTTTTTAAGTCTAAAATGTAATAATACGGCTCAAAATGTCTTCTAACAACTAGATTTTAGGTAAATTAAAATTATAATACAAAAATTTAATAGAACTTGAGAACGTCTTACATTTTTTTCAAGTTTCTGAAATGTGTTCACTACCCCTCGTATGCATATACGCGTATACATTTTCACTTTTCCATGAAGGCATTTTCTTGCCTGACAATTTGTTGTTGCTCTAATAATAGTTAAGTGTCGCGATGCTTTTTAGCTTTTGCACGACATGTTCGATATTGACCGATGGTTTTATACAATTATACGTATAATAAAAGGACATCAATTTAAAGTGCAAATATAGCGTGACAAAATAGGAAAATAATACGGGAACAGCAAGCGATTAAGTAAGAAGCGCAAAAGACGGTTAACAAGTAGGTTAAGGCCATCTTTATCATGAAAAATTATTTAAAGTAATTGCTAAAATAAAATGAAGTTTGATTGGCATCAAAGTTAATGACTTCAATTAGCTAGATGAGCACGTGTGTGGCACACGTACATATTTGTAGACATATTTATAAGAACTAGATAATTACATTTTCTTTTTCTACAACAATATGGCAACCATAACTACTATAAGTTACAATGGGAAATAAGAAAGCATGAAACTGAGCTCGACAGAAGAATCTAACAACTATTTATTTTAACTCGAAACCAACCATAATCAAGTTCACTGATTCCAAGTGTTATGCGTAATTCTTTTTTCACCCGAAAATAAGAGATGTAAATGCTAAAATATTTATAATACTGGGTAAGGTCCTGTCAAAGGCCAGATACTTTATTCGCACACCTTCAATAAACGATAGACCAGTTTTGATACCGTACAAAAAAATTATAATAGTTTATAACATGTTAAATGATAAATTATAAGAGTTTAGATTGTCTCCTATTTTCTTAAAAACGTTTGAGCAATATATAATAAAAAAAAAATTATTTTGGCCGAAAATGCAAATACTAAAGCATATTTACACATATACCTTCTCATACGCAACGCTTACCAATTGCTCACTATTAACTTGTTCATTCGCCTGCTGAGCCAGCGGCAAGGCTGTCGCTTGCTTTGTGTTACGCAAGATTGCGCCACTGCCAGCGTCAACAACGTCTGAGCTATCATTTGGCTGCTGCATATCCTTTGCTGAATCCACATCAGCTCGCACAGCCTCCGCCATCGCAACAAAATATCTCGATTTCTCCAAACAAAAGAAAACCAGTCCCCAGCAATAGCTTTAAATGGAGAAGATACCAATGAAGACTACACAACTGCGTTCTCCAAATACGCAAACGAAGTAAATAGAGTGTAAAGCTTTTGTTTTTTCGGTCGCTAAAGTTGATATAATCAGCTTTATGCTAAAATTTCACTTTGTGCTGCACTTTCCACATGTTTTGCATTTTATTTATAATTTACGTAAATAAATTTAATAATTATCGATTTTTTCGCAAGCACGTTCGTCAAAGACAGCCTGTCGTTTGTGCCTTCTTCAACTGTGTGCGTGGGTGATGCAGAAATGCTCATACACAAACATATACATATCAGTACTGAAAGGCGTTTTGAGCTTTAAATTTTGCTTGTCGCACTTGCAAAAATGAAAGTGTTTAATTTCTAAATTTTCACTATGTTTGCTGCTTCATTAAATGTTCTTTATTGTTTCGAATTCGATTTTTTTTTCCTACAACCAATCACTTTCCGCTTCAGTCTTACACAATACGCGGATGCAGCGTTGCTTTTAGGAAATTCTGCTGTTATGTCACTATGGATTTTCCTTTCGCCATTATTCGCCACATTTGACATCCTAACATTTGGTTTTGTTGTACTTGTAATGTAGACCAGACAATGTAAACATTTCCAAAAATATAGTGTCCAATTGCCACACGCAATAAAGCAATTACACGTTGTAAATGTATAGGCGAAGGTGTGTGTGTGGTAATTATCGTCTCTCAAATAGTTATCGTCTCTTTGCAGAAAATTCTTCCATAACTCACAACATATGTAATAAAATTTTTTGCTCGGAACGCACGCAATTTCATTCAAACTGTATACTTTAACAAAAAAATCAACAAAACTAGAATACCGTTACAAGCAAAACTGTGCGTGCATATATACAAATTCTCGTTTTATATTATACACCCTGTGCTTATGTTGTCCAATTACAACACTGCCCAATTAGATCAGCTGCTAACAGCTGTCAATAGAAAAGCAGCAGCTCTGTAAGATTTCTTTTGGGTTATGTGCTATTTACGCTTATTATATCTGAATGAAAATAAACATTTAATACACAATTAATAAATAAGTGAAACGAAATAATGGCATCTTTTGTGAAACAGTTCGCCCGCCTCAATATAACACAAAGAAGTCTGTTACAGAACTCCTGCAAACTGCTACAGTCGGCTAGCCATAGTTTACATACAACGGATGCTTTAAGCTCTAAATGGAATAAAGCTAATCATGGACCACGCAAATGGTTGGAGTACAATAAAACGGTGCATCCACCACAAAAACCCGACGAGGAACCACGAAAAGCAGTAATTAGTTTACATTAACTCAATAATAATTTAACATTACAATAACAGTGATATAATCATTCCATGTAGTATGTTTGCCACATGCGCACCAATATTAAATATAGTCCTGATAAAATGTGGTATATCGCTTCATTTGTGCGTGGCATGTCCGTCGATGAGGCTGTGAAACAATTGAGTTTTGTGCTGAAGAAAGGCGCCACACATGTCAAAGAGGTGATACTGGAAGCACAAGAAATGGCTGTTAAGCAGCACAATGTGGAATATAAGAGTAATTTGTGGATTGGTAAGCTGCACATAAATTAAAAGTGAGTGACCTAAAATTAATTAGCTTAATAAACAATCAACAGCTGAGTCTTTCGTGGGCAAAGGACGTGTTTTTCGCGGTATACGTCGACATGCACGCGGACGTCAGGGCATAGTTGAATACAAACACTGTCATTATTTCGTAAGACTAGAAGAAGGTCAACCACCAAAGGATTACTACCTACCTGCACAACAAACGCCAGAACAACAGTTAGAGAAATGGATTGAACAAATGCGTAGCCGTAAAGTTATCAATTCGCTCTAAGTCAATTTGTTTCAATGATTGTTTAAAACATGCAATAAATGCAGTTGTCTAAAAATATGTTTTATTTAATAAAAATAAATAAATACAATTTTACTATTATCAAACATCAGCCAAAACAGCGGTCATTAAGTTTTCCAATCCCTTGTCTTTATTCACTTGCGTTAATTGAGAAAGCGGCACATTATCTTCACTTTCCTCGCTTTCACTTTGCTCCTTTGTCAATAGATCCCCTGCTATATCTAAAGCAAGATCTTCACGTTCCCTAAGCAATTTGTCAAAATTTTTATCGACCGCTATACCGCTGAACTTTGATAAATTGGACATAATAGAGTGACCAGCATCTTTACGCTTCTTTCGTGTCCCTTTGATATTACGCTTTTTATTTTCTTTTGGAACAACGCTTTTATTTTCTACAGACGCAGAGTGATCGCGCTCTAAATGTTTAGCTAAATTTTGTCCACTGCTAAAAACACGTTCACAACCAGGCACTTCACATTCAAAACGTTTCCCACCATGTGCGATGCGTATATGTTGTTTTAGATTCCGTTCATATGCGTAACTACGTCCACAACTGGGGCATTTAAAATTCATTTTCTTCTCTTCATCCATATGCTTAGCTGCTATGTGTTTTTGAAGTTCACTGGGTTTTCCATACACGCGCTCACATTGTTCGCACTGATAATACTTTCGTCCATGCTGCTTCTCTTTACAATGTTTAAGATATTTGGTCCATTTATCAAACTTCAAGTTACAATTGGCACAAATATATACTTTACAGCTTGGAACATGTCGGTCATGCTCCCATTGTTGATAAAACCCCCTTGAACATTTTTCACAGCTACAATAAACCAGAAATTATAAATTTTACAGTTATTTGTCATAAATAAATAACAGTAACTTACGTATAGGGGTAATCCCCAGTGTGCGTTTGGATTTCATGCCTGCGTAATTTTAATTTCTGTGTGAACTTTTCGGAGCAAAACGAGCAAGGATAGATTTTAGGATTTTCATGAACCTCTCGAATATGTCGATACATGTTAGTCTCCGATAGGAACATTTTTAAGCATCCGGGTATCTGACAAGGTACATTCTTCACTGGTGGTCCCACTCGTTCATGTGTAGTACGCAAATGACGCTTCAAATGCGTCAAAATGGAATATACTTTATCGCAGCCGTCATATATGCAATAATGCTTTTTCTGAAATACGAAACCATTTATTTACTTTTACAACCTACTCTTGCGTAGACTTACAATTCCTGTATGGTGATACTCATGCCGATCGAGATGGTCCAGACGCTTGAAACTTTTTCCGCATCCCTCAATGCTGCATATATATTTGGGACCATTGCTATTACGACGTGGCTTTGGCGCATCTTGAAAGGAAATTACACTCTCTAAATCACTGTCTGAGTTAGGTTTATTTCCTGGAGTCATTTTTGGCCAAATTTTGCCAAAATGCTGATGTACTTATTTTGTTTTCGTATTGTATTTCACGTGTTTTATTACGAATGTCAACTGCAAAGAATTGCAAACGTGTTGTTAAAGCGGAGTAAATTAGGAGTTAACTAAAAAATAAACACGACCGCAAACTTAATAAACAATGCATTATGTGGATGAAATTTTAGCTAGGTTTTAGTATATAAATATAAAAAGTTTATTATATATAATATAAAGTATATTTTTTTTGCGGTAAAACATAAAAAAGTTAAATACAATATTTTTAATTGGTACTAAATAATTGAGTATTCCAACTGGTCAATGCAACGCTGTTGCTTTGACAAAATACCAACAAACGAAAGACGAAGAAAAAGGGGGAGTTTGCTAAAGAAAAGAAATTCAGAAAAATTAGTTGTAAAGTTATTTAGGCAAGATTCAAGTGTTATTTAAATAAAAATGGAATATGAAAGTGTTTTGATTGTAAAGCCAGAAGTATTTATTTACAAAATCCCACCACGCGCCAGCAACAGAGGTTACAGGTAAACGATAAGTGCAACGGTGCTCCAGTGGAAAATCTGTCTTCGTGGAAAATTTGCTAGTTTCCTCCTTTTCTTACCTACTATTGTTTTTTTTTTATTTTTCATTGCCACTGCCAAGTAACGTTGATGACAAAGAATCTAAAATTGATATAAAAAAAAACAAACATAGAAATTGCAACTTTCTTAAATGGACCACGTCAACGAGATGAACAAAGCAATTATAAAATTATGATATCTAATGATACTTAGATATACAATTGCGGTACCATCTTATTGATTGTCCTTAAATACAGCTGCTACTTTGCCACAAGGTTAAACTAGTTAATGCTTCAAGTTCAAATCCAATTGATTTTTCTGCGGCAAATCTCTTATTGGTTAAGATGTTATCAATTTTTATTAGAAAAATGAAGGGCAATTTAAGTGCTGCTCTAGCTCTAGAATCGTAACCTTTTTCTCCTATGAAGTTATTGAATGAGTTTTTTATGATAATTTATTTGGAGCATAACTTTATTTACCCAATAGAGCTGCGGATTGGAATCTGGGCGAGCCGACTTGGACCGGACGTATGCGTTTGGTGGCAAAAGGTACTGCATGTAATTTAAAGTTGGAGGATAAAAATACCGGCGCGCTTTTCGCAAATTGCCCCATTGATACATATCCTGGTGTTGCTATAGAAGCGGTTTCGGATAGTTCACGTTACTTTGTAATACGCGTACAAGATGATAACGGTATAAGATAAACAATAAATATCTTATCAAGGGTTTTAATATTAATTTTATAATTTCGCTGTTTCTTAGGTCGTTCTGCATTTTTGGGCCTAGGTTTTGGAGATCGTTCGGACTCTTTCGACCTGAATGTAGCATTACAAGATCACTTCAAATGGGTGAAAAATCAGGAGCAAATTGAGAAGGAAAAAACAGAGCCTAAGCAGCAACTTGATTTAGGATTCAAAGAAGGAGAAACCATTAAAATAAATATGCGGATAACAGTGCGTATAAAAAAAAAACAAATTAAATTGGTATTATTTTATTTTATTTTATTTATTTTTTTTTAATAGAAAAAAGATGGATCTGAAGGCACCGGTCGCGCAGGCAAAGCTAAGCCGTCATCTGGAATTTTGCCACCACCACCCGGGGGTATTGGCAAGATTGCACCACCGCCTTCAGGAGCTAGCGGCTCTGTACGACAGAGTCCGGGTACATCACCTGCACATAAAGCACCAGGTGGGCCAGGCAGCGAATGGACGGATTACGCCTCAGCAGGGTAATTACAAGCTGTACTTCAAATAATTTTGTAAATATTAATTTTTGTTGCTTCTTTATAGTGGACAAGCCCAACCACAACAACAACAAAATGCTGCTAACGCAAATTGGGTGCAATTCTAAGTAGGTTTAAACAAACATTTACATATACACACACAAATTCATGCAGAGCTACATAAAAACAAATGTGTAAAAGGAAAAAAAAAAATACTAAAACCAGAAGGGTAATACATCAAGCGTTAATAAAGAGCTTTCGGTCAAAATCGTATAAAATATAATTTGTTGCATACAAGCTAGATAACGCGGGTGTAAGTTTATGTAACATTCGATATCGACAATTTAACGAAATTTATGAAATTAGCAAAAAGTTAAACTGTAATCAAGCCAGTTCATGGTATAGTGAAATATAAAAGGAAAAAAAAAACATGGCAAATGTGTATGTATAACTTGTTAATGTAATGTAAAAATAATTATTGAAGAATTCAGTTAATTTTTTAGTAAAATTATATCTTAACTATACAACAAAAAATAAGATAATTAAATCGTACATTTATGCATATGAATATGCTACAATAATAACAATAAGCTGAACCATAAATGTGTGAAAATGATGCAAATAAGTCATACTAACAGTTTTTTGTTTTAAATCACATGTCATTGGACATACATACTACTTGTTTAGGTTAAACTTTTTCGGTTCCATCAATAAGTTATATTTGTCTTGTAAGTGCACAGTGCTAATATTATGAAATGTACTTACACAATTTGCGTCAATTTTGTTCGCAATTGAATTTAATTTACGCAATTATTTGCATACATTTGCATACACACATTCCATTTTGCATTATTGTTGGTTTAAACAGATTTTGAAGCACTTATCATCTTGCGAAACATTTTATATATCATATAGTATTTTCAAAACAAAAATATGTGATTTTTATGTTCTCTAATTAAATGAATTTGTATTAAAATTTTACAAAAAAATTTTATGTGAGTTTCTATAGAATTTTGTTTTTGCTTTGCGATTGATAGTTAGAATTCCGAGTCAAATACCCATTATTAGAACTGTAATCTACTGAATGTTGTATGAAATGTAATATATATTATTATGCATCCATTAAAAATATGATAAAAGCATAGCATAAAATATATTGTATTTATATCAGTTATACGTATATAGATTGTTCAGCGCTTTTGCTATTTATTAGTGCAAATTGAAAATATTGAATTAACTATATTGTTGCATATGAAAATAAAACCCATTTATCAATAATAGCCAACACTGATTGTAAACTCAATGAACAATTTCGAACTACTTACTGTATCCTTTTGCTCTAATGAAATTTACGAGTATGTAAAGTAAATTAATATAATAAGTTATATATGTATTTAAAATTTATTATTGATGAAGATTGAAATCGAAATTGAGTAAAAGTTATTATTTTTATTTAAAATATATAATAAATAAACTTGATAACACGGAAGTGGAAAGCTGTCCGTATAACGCACGAACTAATTTCATTTTTCTTTGGCAATAATTAAAAAAAAAAAAAAAAAAAATATTAACTTCGAAACTAGAACACAATTCGCGTAAATACAGGGTCTCCGAAAACTTCTGGATGTTACAAAACTTAATAAACTCTGTTCAGGGTGTAAATCTCAATGCACTTCGTGGCAAAAATATCAAATACTATATTAAGGTCCGTAGCCTGTAGCTAGTTAACAAAGTGCGCTGAACATACCCCAACATCAGCTGTGTTTGCTATTGGTTGGCAGAATTTAATTTATTTTTTTCACAATTGCGAATTCCATAACTTGAAACATTTGTATAATTATTTGGTTTTAAACAGTGCATTTCATTAAAATTAAGTAAGATAATGTACACATTATTACATGGCTTCTATAAATACCTCACACAAAAGGAAGAATACTGTGTGGTTATATTAGGACTTGACAACGCTGGAAAAACGGTAAGTTCAACTTATTGATGGCATAGTTAACTAAAATAAACATTTTAATTACTGTTTTGTTAGACCTACTTAGAGGCAGCTAAAACGAAATTCACCAAAAACTACAAAGGTATGAATCCAGCGAAAATCACCACAACGGTAGGCTTGAATATTGGCACAATTGATGTGTCGGGTGTGCGGTTGAATTTCTGGGATTTAGGAGGACAGCAAGAGTTGCAATCTCTATGGGATAAATACTACCAGGAATCACATGGTGTGATTTATGTGATAGACTCGAATGATCGGGAGCGTATGGACGAGTCAAAGGAAATTTTTGGTCAGTTCAAACATTTCGGTTTTTTTTTCGGTTTCAAAATATATTATATATTTTTTTTGTTATTGCAGATAAAATGATTAAAAACGAATTGCTCTCAGGAGTGCCACTACTAATACTTGCCAATAAGCAAGATCTGCCCGATGTAATGGGTGTACGTGACATAAAGCCAGTATTTCAACAATCTGGTGCGTTAATAGGCCGACGTGATTGCCTAACCATGCCAGTATCGGCGCTTACGGGGTATGAAAAAAAAAATCACAAATATTACATATGCAATGTTGCAATGCTCTTTATTTTATTTGCATGTCTTTCAACAGTGAAGGTGTAAATGAGGGTATTAAATGGTTAGTTGAAGCCATTAAACGACATTCCATAGTGCGTCCGCCGCGCGAAAACGATTGATCATGATTATAATAATATTGCAGTTAACGAGAATATTTTACAATGTACAATGTACTCACTTTTTATTTATATTCTCCCAAGCAACACAATGGGAGACTGGAGCAAGTTTTGTATGTAAACAACTTTAATATTTTTTAGTATATATATTATATATAATTATAATTATAGTTTCTGCTTATTTAACTAACTTTTTAAACATAAAGATAAGGTACTGACAAATGAAAGTTTGACTTAATAAAATCTAAGTATTTTATAGAGTTAAAATTAATCGAATTTCTATAATTGTTAACAATTTCTTGTAAAAAAATATTAAATTGTGGTATTATTATTGCTTTACCTTGTTTAAGAGAATGTTTTCATCGTACAAAACTCTTTTTAGCAAAAAATATTTAAACCACATTACCTTTGCTGCTTATCAGTTGATACTCCAAATAATACTTTACGAGTGTCTAGTTGATAAAATGTTGTTGTAACTTTGTACTGTATGAGTTCATTTTAGTATTTTTGATTGTGCTCTCTATCCATTTTAACATTATTTAGCTTCGTATATAATACATATGTATGTATGGACATGTGTATATATATGAACATGTTTTTTTTAGATAACAAACGTAAGTTTTTGATAAAAATGCAGAGCGCCAGGTAGCTAAAGTGGACGATTTGTTAGCATTTAGGGTGCTTGCTAACGAATTAACTCGGCGGGTTTAGAACTTCCCGTGAAGTTAAGTGAGCATTCTTTTTAATAGCCTTTTTCGTACGATCAGAGGTAAATTCAAATAAAGCTATACATGTCGTTGTTCAGTATAAACTAGACGCTATCGCCTTCGGTAGAAATTGACAGCTGTATTACTGCAAAAGTGTTAGGAAATCTGCGTATATATATGTATAACTGGGTGACAAACTGTTATATATTGAATATATTAATAAATTATACATTTTCTATCGGACGTGTGTAAAAACTACTGTGTAAATGTTGATATGAAAGTCAATTATTTAAAAAATACGATCATATTATATTTGAACGATTTACAAAAAATATGTTTGTGCTTAAGTTATTAAAGAAGTAATGACGGTAGCAACTACATAGAAACATACAATAAATTTATTAAAATTCCCATACATAAATAAGATAACAACTAGACGTATCGCGACATCGTTTCAGCCGCTTATCAGTAACGGTTTCTGTGGTATCGAACTACTCTTGGTTTCTTGTATTTTCCGATGAATGGTGTTGAATGACAAAGTAAAAATATGTCTGTGCTAAGTAAAAAATAAATATATAAAAAAATTAAAAAATTAATATATAAGCAAATTATAAAAAAAAGTACCTACTCGAATACAAAGAAAGAGATTTTTGTGGCAGAAACAAAGTTGCAGATTTTACTGCAGTTGTGCAACGATGTATCCATATTACGAGCCGGATTGGAGTGTTTTACCGCCAGAAAACAATCGCAGGTACTTATAGTTATCAGACTACGATTTTTTTATTTATTAAAGTAGTTTAAGTATTGAATATATGTATGAAGTCTTATATCATATACTCATTGCAACTTTGTTGTTAGTAAAAGGAAGTGAACATACACATGAACATATGTAAAAGCCACACTACATTTCTTACAGTATATTTAAACAAAACGCCCACCACATGTATGTGATTCAACAAGCATAAAGTCACTGTGCAAACAAAAAGTTGATGACAAAAAATAGATATACAAAAATGTAGAGCAACAATTAAATTAAAGAATAATGTTTTCGATATGTGACTATGAATAATATATATTCTATATGTGTAGTATACGTCTGTATGTAAGAATGTATATCTTATCAAAATAACACGTTTGGAGATACAATCAATTTCATATTGAAATTGACATGCAGGTTAAACTCTATTTCATACCTGTATACATTATATATATATATATTATATTATATTCAAACAGCTACCTAAATTTATGTAATTTGGAACGTATGGCAGCTAAATGTTATATAATTCCTGCAAAATTTCGTGAAGATACCTTGTCAGATAAAAAAGTTTTTCCTACAAAGACTTGATTTTGACCGGTCAGTTTGTATGTCAGCTGTATGATATAGTTATTCGATATCGGCGGTTGCTACAAATGAACAGCTTCTTGGTAAGAAAAGGACGTGTGCAAAAACTGACGATTAGGGGGTATGGGTGTATGCATTAATTCGTGCGGTTTTGTTTTTTTTCGAAAATTAAGACTTTATTCTGAAAAAATTGTTATACATTTTATGTTCAAAGTATTGCCCATCGGAAGCTACTTTGGTTGCCCATTCCGTTCCCACGACAGTCGGGTCTATTCCGGCCAAGGACTGTCAACTCGGCAGAATTCTGCCGCTACAACAACAACAACATGGTTGTCCATCTTTCTGGCAGTTTGTGGATCCCATCCCAAAAGAACTTCTCCGGCTTGGAGGCCAAGAAAGAATCGAGCCAATTTCTGATACCCTGTTCTGAATTTGTTTGGCTGTCCGGACGTTCTCCGTCGTCTAAGTCGAAATTGCCACTTTTAAACCGTACAAACCACTTTTGGCACGTTCGTTCGGCTAGAGCATGGTCACCATAAACGTCCAGTAAAGTACGATGGCTTTCGGTAGCACTTTGTTAAAGTAATGAAGAAGAACTCTCCGCAAAAACACTTTATCTGATACAAATTTCGACATTTTCAAATGAATGAAACAAATTGTTATTCACGCTAAAACAAATGACATCTACTGAAAACGACGCGAAGTGACAGTAACTTTGAAATGAATATAGCCACAGATGAACACGACGTGAAATAATACTAGTAGAGCCCTCCCTAGGAAACCGCAGAGAGCCAGACAGGCATGCCCCAATCGACTCAGCTGATCATTTACATATATATATACTTTATAAAGTCTCCGACATTTCCTTCTGGTATTACAAATATCATGGCAAGCTTAATATACCACGTCGAGACCTAGAAAAGACCTTCTAAAAAAGCCACCCAGTTTTTAATAAATGCCAAACCAGTAGACATATTTATTTATAATATCTTTTAAACATAACGATTACCACTGTGCGCATATTTCATAAATGTAGCAACCCTAAGCCCTAATTTCCATTCGGAAATACCCCATTTTTATCGATTTCACTATCAAGTGTCAACGTTGTTTCCTTTTTTTAGCCCAATTCGTTGCCACTTGACATATTCTGTCAGTCGTGTTGGTCGTTTGTCATCGGTTAGCGAAAAATTGCTTTTGTTTTGTGAAAATCCAATTTATTTGTTTAATTTTTAGTTTTCCCCACACCTGTTTGTGTGTAAATTGCTAAAGAACCCGTAAAAAGTTAAAAAGTGAATGTCGCACTGCAAATAAAACGCTACATTCCAGTAGAATATAAGTGAAAAAATATTGGGCGAACACACTACACAAGGAAGAAAATGTAAATTGATGCGTTGTGAAAAAAGCGTAGAAAAGGCGAAACAAGTTAAAAGCGTAGGTAAAAGAGTAGTGAACGTGAATTGCGTGTGCAATCAGAGGAAAAGTAAACGTCAAATGAATCAAAACCAAAAAGGTTAAATACGAGTATATTTAGTTAAAGTGCATATAATTAAAATATCTTGTAAGCTCATTGCAAAAAAAAAACAAAAAAGATTAGTACAATGCAATGCTATATTTTACAAGTATACCAGACCAACATAAGGTGTTGTGTGTATGTGGTTATCTCTGGTTGAATGCAATATTTGCCGCCACCTGCTAGGCTGTTATGTAGTACTAATTGCATGTTTTTTTTCATATCTTCACTTGCAGTAGACAAATGTTCATCTGAATTGTTTGCTTCCAATCATATTCTTCTTAACTCACATGACTATGTAAGCCAGTGTATACAAACCTTGGCCATAAAAGTCTTACTGTAAGCAAGATATATGTATGTAAAATATCTTAACCAAGTGTACGTTATTATTTTGCTACGTTTTCCTCATCAATTTCAAAAATTCAAAAATTTAATTAAATTATTTTACAAATTAACCTAGAACTTCATATAATCAGCTGATAAAGTGGACCGTTGTGCTTTAACTTTTGCCGCATTTAGTATATGCCGTAAAAATGATTTAGTTTATTTTTAAAGTTAAATAAAAACAGTGATATTAGATGACATATACACTAACGTTTTATGAAAATGATGTCAGTATTATAAACCTCTAAAATACCCACTTCAATCCTAAAAAAATTGGTAAAATATTAACCAAATTTGGAATTCACCACACCTTAAACGTCAATTCACCATAGCTGTCATTTGTCTGCTGCAGTTGCGTTTCCGCTCAGTTTTGGCCAAGACTGTCGTAATTTGTGTTGGCCAATGAAACAAAAAAGAAAGAAAAAATACCAAAACAAAACGTAAATGCGAAAAACAGGAAGCAACGCCGCTTTACTAATTTTTTTTTGTGTGCATATGTTTAGTAAGCCCTCTCTATGTGTGCTACCAATCCTGTTTCCGTTTTTCTGTTGTGTTGCCAAATACTGCAACCCCACACATTGTCGCACAGTGCATCAAGTTTCTGTGCAATTATGTGTTGCAATTTGCTATTGTCAGTAGTTATCTGACATTTGCATTAGCCACTTCGTTTCTGCTTACAATGTAGTATTAAATGTGTATGAAGTGTTCAAAATATAGACTAATCGCACTGTAAATAAAAGTGTTAAGTAAGAAAGTCCAAATGCTATAACAGATAACTGAAATGCATTTGATATTAACACTAAGTTGTTTAATATTTGCACAATTTCAGTTTTAAGTGCGTGTGTTAAAAGCGTACCATCTGTTTGTCAATCGGTGAAACACTATAAATTACCAATACTACAGCTTAACAAAGCGAAGGGTGTGAGTGTACAAGTATAGGGTTGGCTATGCTATCCTCTAACTGGTCGTGCTCGATGCAGTGTGTACGTTTAGGAGCACAAATACGTGTCGCGCAAAGGTCTACATCTGTAATTAACGATTAATTGTTAACAATACACAAGGTCTATAACAATAAAGGCTAGAGCCGTATTATAACATTGCTCCACACATGCAAGCAATTACAAATGCATAATTCGTAAAAGATTTGTTTGACTTTTTGTTATAAATATGATACTTTGTTTGCTTTTTACCCAAACATTTCATTCTAGGAATGAATTATTTCATAAATGCATCCCAATCCTATAATCTTCTTCACAAAATAAAAGCCACCACATTTGTTATCCACAAAATTAAATTATCAAATCGATACCTGCGTGGCATTTACATCTCAGCTTTTAAGCCTCGATTGATTTGCGTGATAACTTAAGCCCAGCTTTGTATTTTTTTTCTGTATATATGTATGTTTGTATATATATGTACATGTTTAAATCGGTTGCAGCTGATTCACGGAGTTGAGTTTACTCAGTCATTCAAACTTTCAGTCAAGCCTTCAGTTACTTTGCTGCGGATAAAATGAAATGTTGTTTATTTTGCGACACTCAATAGTATGTCTTGCTCGTCATTGTCACTGATATTCACTTTTCAACCCACTATAACCACAACACGCTTGCATTAATCTATTCAACAGTAAGAAAAGGAAAAACAGTGATAATCAAATAATAGTAATACAAAAGCCATAAAAAAGTTTTCCTGTGTTCAACCATCAACATTCTCTGCGTAGCGGCAGAGTATAGAAGAGGTGAGTAGTGGAGCATAGGACCGAGTGCAAAAGTGAAGGTGGAGCCGTAACAGATTTTAGCGCGTGTCTGTGCCTATATCAAAGTAAAAATAAGCACGGCAGCAATAGCAACAGCTAGAGCAGTATTAACAAAAACAAAAAGAAAAAAAAAACGTTGAAAACACAACCAACAACAACAATTAAGTCAACTGAAACAGTGAATCACAGCTCAAAATGAATTCCGAGCACGGGTAATTTCTATTTTGTATAACATTTCTATGCAAATATATCGTATTGTATATTGCTTTTTTAACTACTAATACTTTATTTATGCTTCTGTTAATTTTTAACTGGATAGAATTTTGCATTCAATACTAAAAAATTTAATTTTGTTTTGTTTAGAAAATGCATTTACCGTATACGAACCTAAGTGCAATGTTTACGTTAATCTAATGGAATTGCCAATCACAGTTTTGACATTTATGTTAACATTTAAATGTAATTAAAAAAATGTCTCATAATAAATTTAAATTATTTATTTTCGCTAAAAACTGATTTTAATAACGGTCGACTCTAATAATAATTTATTATTATTTTAAACGTAAAACTTAGCAATTTGCATTGCGAATTTATTCGAAAAATGTAATTCAGTTCGATATAGTTTCTAGCTTGTTGACATGTGTTAAGGGGGAGGGAGTACTGGGAGTACTACGGAGTTATGACTATTTTTATACCTGTTTTATGTACGTTTTACATCAGATTACAAAACTTTAAAGCGTTTTCTCCACAACTCATGTTTTCAAAGTCGATGCCCCTCATAACTTCAAAACTACTGCACCGATCGTTTTGTAATTTTGCACGCTATTTCCGTACATAATTTACGATATAAGGCCGGAGAGATAATTTCAATCTTGTTAATAATTTTTATTTTACAATAACAAAGTGGTCGATTTTTTCGCAAAACTCGCATTTTTTCATTCAAAGTGTTCCCAAAAAATGAAAATGCTAGACTTCGAAAAACCGTCTTGCCTTAACTGGAAAAAACTATTATCTAATGAATAAACCGTGAATTTTTGATTTCGGATGTTCTAGCATCATGTTATGAGGAACACCGCAATCCAACTTTTTTCCGGAACTCGTTAGAATAATTGCCACTTATTTTAAATATTTCTTCATCACAATATTCTTCAAATGTCATAATAAATTTTCTATTCTTTTTATTAAATAGATTTAAACTGTTTCAACAAAAAAAAATCAAAAAATTTGCCTTTTTTCACGCGATTTAAAACTATTCCCCCCTAAATACAACTTTATACTGTTTAAAAAATGAACTTTTCCCTAATCGTCTGTAGATTTTTGGCATACTAATATGGCAATAGCAACTTTTATCTCTAACGACAAAATATGGTACGAGTCTCTTACTGACGTCAATTGATTTCTATAAAAAGTTTGTTACTATTAAAAGTGTTCTAAAATTATGCTCACTCTGTTCTAATTAAATATGTTGCGTACACTGTATTTAAAGAACTAATATTTTGAAATGTATGTATGTACACAAGATTTTATTAAAATAATTGTTAGCTTAATATTTGTTTTATTTTTATTTTTAGTTCTATGAATGTAGATTTTTAGTAAGAAATCATGCTTTATTTTTCGTTATAAAAATAATATTAATTGCATGTAAAACTAATCACTATTTCCACTCTGTGGCGCTTGTCTCCATGTTTTTACAGATTTAATCCAGCCTTTAATATGGCGACCATACGCCAAGCATTCACGGAGGCCGTCGAACGAGGTAAGTGTATATCAGTAAAAAATAATAATAACACCAAATCCAATACAAATGCAATGCTGCAATGCTGTGTGTAATGTGTGCGTTCATGTAGTACCAGATAATAGCAGGCTGTTGGCTCGTTTGACCCATGTCTACATTGACTTACGTGCAAAATAGTTATATATTTGCCGTCTTCACTGTTCGAAGGCACAAGCATTTGTATATATTGTTCAAGTCTAATTGAATGACAACTTGAATAGCTTAGAAAATTCAACGATCTTTTCAATTAACACTTGCCGGCGAACGTTAAGCGAATTTCATAAATCATTACCACCCACTAAAGCGTACTTAAACGCATCCATGCCAACCTACATACATACCCACACATGCATCATCACCATCATCATCAGAAAGACCAAAGTACTAGCGCGCACAAATAGCAACGAAGGGATTATTACAAGTTGTAGCAACAAAAAGATGCTAAACAGTGTGTGGGACACAGTAAAAGAACTGAAAGATTTGTAATTTTTTCTCTACTTCTCAAACATATCATTCATGTTATCTTTTTCTTCTTTTTTTATTTTTTGTTGTTGCGGCGAATGCAGTAAGAATGCCAACACCCACACGTCTGCGAGATCTCATACGGCAAATACGCGCCGCCAGGACAGCCGCAGAAGAGCGCGCTGTCGTTAACAAAGAATGTGCCTACATCCGCAGCACTTTCCGGGAGGAGGATTCGGTGTGGCGGTAAGACAACCAATAACGCATATACCTACATATATGCTTTTGTATGTGTGAAATTAAATTTTCTTATGCTCTCTTTTTCGTATTGTATGCATTTACTTATATGGCTTTTCGTTTGTAGATGCCGCAACATTGCCAAGCTGCTCTACATTCATATGCTGGGTTATCCAGCGCACTTTGGACAGTTGGAATGTCTAAAACTCACCGCCAGCACACGTTTCACTGACAAACGCATCGGTTATTTGGGTGCCATGCTCTTGCTGGACGAACGTCAGGATGTGCACTTACTGATAACGAATTGCCTCAAAAAGTAAGCGCTATGCTCGTTCGGGGTCGTCAAGCGCAATTTAAAGTGGCGGAAATGAACTTTTGCAAGCACGCGAATAGCCAAATAGTTGCACAAAGTAATTGCCGTCAACAAAAACAAAAACCAAAAAAGATACATTTTGACTTGTTGGCAGCAATCGCTTGGCTACTTGTATATTTGTTAAGCTTTCGGCTTGTTTCAATTTAATTATATGTATGTATGTATGTATGTATTGCATACATATGTATATACATTACCGCGTTTGTCGGCCTTGCCGCCAGTCATTATCTTTCCAATACATTTTAATGTATTTCTATTTGTTCATTGGCTTTTGCAGTGACTTAAATAGTTCCACACAATTTGTGGTGGGTTTGGCGTTGTGCACGCTGGGCGCTATAGCATCACCCGAAATGGCGCGTGATTTAGCTAGCGAGGTTGAACGTCTAATGAAGTCGCCCAACACCTACATACGCAAAAAGGCCACTTTATGCGCCTTTCGTGTTATACGACGGGTGCCAGAACTGATGGAAATCTTTTTACCGGCCACACGTTCGCTGCTAAGCGAAAAGAATCACGGTAGGCCATAAAGCGCTTTTAACCACGCATGCAACATAAAGTTGTATACATCTATAAATACTAGATTGTGCATTTTAAATTGCGGGCAACGCCTGTTGCTTAGTTGCACCTTGAACCGTGCAAACACGCGACTTCCTTTTAAGCCAATTTAAAATGCGCAATATTCTAGTGTTTTTTTTTTTTGCATATAAAATCTCTTCACATTCAATAACTGTATTAAATTTGTAGGCATATTAATTACTGGCGTCACGCTGATTACCGAAATGTGCGAAAACAGTGCCGACACTTTATTGCATTTCAAAAAGGTGAGTAAGTCGCTAGCTATAAAACGGTAGTGCTTTACTGACTCGTAAAAGTTGTCTGATGAATAAATTTCTTACTAAAGGCAAATAATGATTTTTGTTTCGGATTCGCGATTCATTTTAATAATAATAGTAAAATTCATAAATAATTATTGCATTAAAATCTTAATGAATGTAAGACGAAATTAATTGGCAATAAAAATGGTAATAATGAGCCTTTTATATGTAGTTGTATACATTTAAATATACATAAAGATATATAAGTATCAGGGTTGCGAATTTTTAAATAAAAAATGTTGGTTTAAAAATTTAATTTTCACTGTACAATTCCAATTTTAGGATTAAATTAAGTTTTCAATTTTAAATACGATGTTGGGTTTAAAAACCAATATTTGATTCAATTTCAATCAAAAATTAAATTTAATTTTTAATTTAAGATGTTTGGTATTAAAAATTTAGTATTGAAAATTAAAAAAAAATTTATTAAAAATTAAAAAATTAAATAAAAATTTAATTTTAATACATTTTTTGTTAATGAAAAATTAAAAATTAAAATTTAATAAAAATTTAATTGGTTAAAAAGTTGAAAAAAAAATTTTTAATTTAAAATTTGGAATATAAAAAATATTATTTTTGAAATTAAAGGCCTGTATGATGAGATATAAAAGAACAGTTTTACTTATTTCGAACTGAAACACTGTAATTAAAAGGCTTTGAATTTCAAAATTACATTTTTTATTTGTTACTTCAATTTTTTGAGTATAAATAAGACAAAATGAGTTAAACCATATTTGATATATCAAAAATGAGCTGTACTTAAAAAAAAATAAAAAAAATACGCAAACGCGAAAAAAGTACAAGCTAAAAAATTTCTTTTTTAATTTTACTTATATGCTTGGGTTTAAATATTTTTAATTTTTTATTTATTTTTTAATTCGGTATTTGGAATTAGAAATTTATTATTTATTGCAACCCTGATAAGTATACAAGCCTTAAAACTACGACCATTTCCATTATATATAGAAAAATGTTGAAATAACGAAATTCATTCAGGAGTCAAATCGCAAATATTTTATACAAAAATTATCAAAAATGTACAGCGTGTGAAATAGCTCAATATGTATATGCTAAAAAGAAGTTACCCAACAATTGTCTAAGCTTAAAAATACAAAAATAATTATTAAAATGCTACAAATTTTAAATCAAGCACAATGCTCCAACCTAAACCGAAAATTCTTACTCAAAAATGCTATCAGCAACCTAAAAATAAACTGGCTTTTCATTATAATTTCCATTATATTTTTTTTTATTTTAAAATTGCAAAAAATAAAATTTTATTGCATCCATTTGCTTAAAAATCGCGTACATATTAACAATTTGTTTGATTACGCTCATGCGCATTTGTATATACAAACAATCTGTGTGCTGCGCTAAATTATTTGCGAAAAATGTAAATATTTGCTAAATACAAAGCGGCTTTCAACACTATCCAACATAGATTGAGCTTTTAAATGATATTACCATTTATTTGTGTATATAATTGGTATGTGGTAATGCTTTTTAAAAGCTTCAAAATTCATTTAAGTTACATACATACTTACCTATATGTATAAATACTTTTAAAATCATTGACATGCATACATATATACATATTTTTGCTACTTGTATCATTTCAACACATTTTATTTACCTCATCACAAAAAAAAAAACAAAAAATAGAAAGAAAAATAAAAACATTAAAACATAACTTCAACATTTAACTTTTTTTGTAATATTTTATTGCTAACTTTTTGTGAAAACCCGCATACAATACAAAACCAAACCAAATTTTTGTAATTTGCTTGCCAGGATAGCGGAAATCGAGAGGTATGACTTTGACAAGAGTTACCACACAAATATACATACATACATACATACAAACAATACAGATAATCGCACATGCTACACACGAACACGTAAACAACAACACTACAATGTATATGTTTTGTATCAGCGCTTGAATTTATAAATGAATTACTTTTAGGTAGAATTTTTTGATACATTTTTAATACAGTTGGTTTAAAGTAATTAAAAAATATTTACTTTGGAGTAGTTAAAAACTACTTGTTTGTAATACAAGTATATATGTAGTAGTGTAGATTCAATATTTTTCATATAATTTGCACCTGTAGGCATTTCTTTTTTTGAATCAATCTGAAAAAAAGTTAAAATCACTTATCATTGTCTAGAAAAGCTATTTTAGACTCAATAACAAGCGTTATGTACACATTTGGCACTTAAAATTCTATTTTTTGTTAAATGCGTCAAGCATATTTGAGGTTATGTTTACAATTGAGGAGTAAAATTGATCAAAAACAAGAAAAAACGTTAACTTTTGTTGCATCGAAGCTGTAATACGCTTCACAAATACCAATCGAAGCAATTTTTTTTGATGTATTTGTATCGTTGCCCTGGACAATAGTGAAATCTCGTCAAATAAAAAAATTTTCCATCCGAGGACATGCATTTAATCGTCCAGTTCGTATGGCAGCTATATGTTATAGTGGTCCGAATCGGCGGTACCGAAAAATGAGCAAATTTTTAGTTCAATTTAGCTTACGCGCATTTTAATCGCTCAGTAAAATATCATCTCAGGCTCACATTTTTACTAAAAGTTGTTTTACGCTTTGCACTGGTTCAATTTCAGTACTTTTTGATACATTTTGAACGTGTTAACAATTTTATTGACTTCACTTTTACACTTCGTTAAACTAGTCAGAGTTGTGTTTGTTTGTATGCTCTTATTTTTCTATATCACAGCTTAAAACAAAAGTTTTCTACTTTTTTAATAATATTATTATGAAATTTTGTATTTTCTAACTTTTGTTTCTAACACAAAAGTAAATGCCACCTTTTCTCACCATAAAAACAAAACAACCCGAACATTTATCACTATTCACCTCACAAACTTTAACGCTACATCGTGCTTTCTTCTAACGTCTCCCACTTTAAAAGCAATACTTTCTTGTTAAGCGCTTCTCAACTACTCTACTTTTCTCACTCACTCTTTTCTAACTCTTCGCTGTTAAAATGTACAAATAGCTGTAAAATAACTGTTATTTTTAATAAACTAATAAAATGTTAATTTTCTACTTAGATTGTGCCGAATTTGGTGCGCATACTGAAGAATCTAATTTTGGGCGGCTACTCGCCGGAGCACGATGTCAGCGGCGTAAGCGATCCATTTTTGCAAGTCAAAATTCTACGTTTGTTGCGCATACTGGGCCACAATGATGTGGATGCATCGGAGGCAATGAACGATATATTGGCACAGGTGGCCACCAACACGGAGACTAGTAAAAATGTCGGCAACACTATACTATACGAAACAGTGCTCTCCATCATGGATATACGGTGCGTATAATTGACTTTTTTTGGAAGTCGTACAAATTCACAAATAACACTAAATCACTTTACAGTTCGGAAGGTGGGCTACGCGTGTTGGCTGTTAATATACTGGGTCGTTTTCTACTTAACTCCGACAAGAATATCCGTTATGTAGCGTTAAATACACTATTGCGTACGGTGCATGCTGACACGTCGGCGGTGCAACGTCATCGCACCACTATTTTGGAGTGCCTCAAAGATCCGGACGTCTCGATTAGGCGTCGCGCCATGGAACTCTCGTTTGCGTTAATCAATGCACAAAATATACGTACAATGACCAAGGAGTTGTTGCTGTTCCTAGAGAAGGCTGATCCGGAATTCAAAGCGCAATGCAGTTCGGGCATGATTTTGGCCGCCGAACGTTACTCGCCCAATGCGCGGTGGCATCTGGACACGCAATTGAGCGTGTTAATTGCGGTAAGTGCTGGCATAAGAAACTAAAAATAAGAAAAAAACATAAACTTCGGTTGCACCGTAACTTTGACACCCTTCTCCAATAAAAATAATAAAAAAAAAGTTTTCATATAAAAACTTGATTTTGATCGGTCTGATTTAAAAAAATTGTTCGGAGATTGTATCCATGCTGAATTTCGTGAAGATATCTGGTCATACAAAAAAGTTTTCCATACAGAAACTTGTTTTTGATCGTTCAGTTCAGTATGACAGCTATATGTTATAGTGGTATGATATCGGTCGGTTTCAAAAATAAGCAGCCTATTGGGGAGAAAAGAATGTGTCCGAAATTTCAAATCGTTATCTCAAAATCTGAGGGATTAGTTCGTGTATATACAGATGGACATGGTTAAATCGATTTGGTACCAGGTGTACCGGTATGAAATGAGCGTTAAGATACAAATGTGTTGGTAGCGAATATTTGTTGTGAACGGGCCTTAATTTATTTTCTGTTCGCTTGGCATGACATCTGTCAAACATATTCAATAATCTTACAGTCCGTGAACAAACTACGTCATAGTTTTTCATTGTGTTGAAAATGTCAAATTTTGTACCGGAAAGTGATGATTTACGGAAAGCATTAATTTTTTGTTTCCATTTGAAGAAAAGTGCTGCAGAGTCGCATTGAATGCTTGTCGAGGCATATGGTGATCAGGCACTATCAGATGCAACATACAAAAGTTGGTTTCAACGGTTCAGAGATAATCAATTTAATGTGAGAAATGAAGCACGTGGAAGACTATCAAAACATTTTGAAAACTGCAAGCAATATTAAATGAAGATTAGACATGTTCAATTTGAACGATGCATTGATCGAAAAACGACCAGAATGAGCCAGAAGACACAGCAAAGTAATTTGTTACACGACAATGCACTTGCACACAAAACAAAATTGGTTGAGGATACTTTGAATACGTTTCGCATTTGGCGCATTTCATACCGGTACACACTTTATGGGGTCTTTGACGTTTCTTTTTTTGTGTTACAAACTTCGTGGCAAACTTAGTATACCCTTTTCGAGCTATAACAATAATAACTTCTATAATAATATATTTATATATATAAAAATAGGCTGGCAACTATGTGCGTGACGATGTGGTCTCCTCCACAATCCAGCTGGTGTCCAGCAGCCCTGTGGCAGAGCAGACCTACATAACGAATCGTTTCTGGGAATCACTGCAAGTCGCTAATCATTGCGAAGATAAACAGCCGCTGCTGCAAGTCGCCGTCTGGGCTATTGGCGAGTATGGCGACCTCTTTATGTACGGCCCCAATGAAGATGGTGCGTTGCAATTTACATTTTAATATGAATTAATAAAATTAATATTTATTTCATAGAATTTGAACGTCCATCGGAGAGCGATTTAATCGCCATGTTCCACAAGTTCTTAACCTCTGCTCAAGTATCAATAACCAGCAAGCAATATGCCTTAGTCTCACTCGCTAAACTAAGCACGCGTCTACAGAACTGCGTAGAGTAAGTAACGTTAGAAAATTTTTATTATATTTTTTTTCAAAGCGTTGAAATCATCCACAATTAATGCGTTAATTCTTTAGAGAAATCCAGGCATTGATTACCTCATTCGGCAGTCATCTGAATGTGGATTTGCAACAGCGTGGCGTCGAGTTTACACAACTATTTGGCACATATAAAAATTTACGTCCACCGCTGCTAGAGAAAATGCCGCCAATGCAGATAAGTCGCATCTCGTCGCAAAATGGCGAGAGCAGTGGTTCGTATGACGACAACAGTCCGGACTTGATTGAGAATGGCATAGGTATAGGCGATGAGCAGCTAGGCAAGGAGAGTAATATGAATACGCTGGGTGATAATACGGTGGGTCAACCTAAACTACTTAAAATTACTGAAAAATTTATTTAATTTATTTCCATATCACAACTACCTTAGAATATATTGCTCGACTTACTTGGTGGCACCGATTTGACCACACCCACCGCCACAGATTTATCCAACTCAGTTGCCGTGCAAAAGAAGAATTCAAAGAATGCTAATGAAACGTCGAATAATCAAGCCATACTCGATTTGCTCGACTTGGATATTTCAGCTAGTACGACCAGCAACCAACCGACAAATATGAATAATGTACTTGCTCTGGACTTGGGTGGCGGTTTGGCGGCAACAATACCAGCAACAGCGGCGACAAATGGCAATGACTTGTCGAGTATAATGTCGCTGAGCGGCAATAGTATTGGTGGTGGCGCCATTAGTGGCGTCGGTGTGGGTATGGTTGCCGGCGGCCTATTAGGTTCCAACAGTATTTTATCGCAACCAAACACAGTGCCCGGCAATGCATTGCTTTCGGATTTAGCGTCGCCAGTTGTGAATGCAGCGCCACCAAACAATATTGCAGTGGTAAATATAAATCACAGAAGCAGACATTTTGCTATTTGTCGAAGTTAAAACCTATTAGTGTTCGAAACATTGTTTCTTTTTTTATTATTTCGAAAGTACTTCGAAAGAAGTTAAAAAACAGAGTTTTCATATTTCATAAACTAAATTGGAATACAGAACAGTTCTGAACTGAAATTTATATATATATATTTTTTTTGCATCAAAATGCTAAATTGTTATTATGCTTTTCTTCCCGACAGCCTCAGGGACCCACTTTAACTGTATTGGATAAGAACGATTTGCTGGTACAACTGGTGCCAGTTAGAAAAAACGACTGCTTACAAATATTTATGACAACAACAAATAATTCATCTAATACATTGGAACAATATGTCTTTCAGGTTAGTAAATACGAACAAAAATGCATCTGATCAAAATTGACCCGGACCCTCTGCTATCTCTCTGATGCCAACATAAGTATTTTCAAAAAATGTTTCTTTAACTTTTTCGCATGAGGCAAGTTTTCGATGTTTTCACGAACTGCACTGAATGCTTTGTGCCACTCAAATACTTGTGTTTTTGATCATTTAAACTCTCCAAAAGAGTTCTGGAACATTTTCAACGATTTCGTAGTCGTAGTTCTAATGGAAACATAAAATTTTCAGCAAACTTGTTTTTCTATTTTTTTTCATGATGAAAATCGCCAGACAAACTTTTCGGAAACGTTTTCTTTTTTTTATCGATTCGGTCGGTTTGCGGGTGCAGTTTAAATGGACCAGTCCGGGTCAAATTTGATCATATGCTATTACTAGACACTAATTATAATAATGTTTATGTGAATTCATAAGTTATATATACATTAGGGTGGGTAAAAAAAAAATTGTTACGCTGAAAAATAGGACCTTCTAAGAAAGTCTTCCAAGTATGAGCTCTTATTTATAACGGGAAGGTCCTCCGCCTTAAAATTAAGAGCTCATACTTGGAGAGACTTTATTAAAGGTGTCTAAGAACATATTCTTCAAGCGAAAAAAATATTAGTTTTTTTTACCCACCCTAATATACATAGAGTTTAAGTATTTATCAATATTATTTCCCATTGTTAAAATAACCATGAACTAAACTCAAATATGATTTTTTTCTAACCTAAAAAAAATATAAAAACACAATTGTTTTCACCATTTTAATTAATTTTTCCACTATTATAGGCTGCAGTTCCTAGAGTATTCACACTACAAATGCTATCGCCTTCTGGTTCGATACTGCCGCCAGGTGGTGTTATAACGCAAGAAATGCGTGTTGTTAGTACGTCCAATGTGAGTTAAAAAAAAAAACTGAAATTCAAACATTTGTAAATTAATTGTTTCTTAATTTTTCTACGCAATTTTCAGGCTACCCTCCGCATGAGGTTACGCATATCATATGTTGTCGATGGACAACCCGTTGTGGAGCAAACCGAAGTTACCGGATTTCCTGACACTGCACCCGAATAGGAATCAAAATATGTATAATTAAAATTGCAGTATAAGCACATAAAATGTTAATAGAGCGTTTGAGAAAGAAAAAAACAAAAACAATATCGTAACTGAGAATTAACAAAAAAAAAAACAAAACACAAAAAACGCGCTCCCTCTGTTCCCTCCTTTTATCCTACTTATCCCTTCATACAAGTATACATGTGTTCTTCAAAAACTACACAAACAAATTATACATTCTTTATAAATATATATATATATATATTTTGTAATATACATTTAACGTAGCAATCAGTCAAACACAGTCTAACTGATATACATATGTATTAGCGAACGCTCTAAATCTCACCACACACACACAAAAATACGTTCTGATTGCTTACACACAATGAAAGATAGCAATCAAATCCATGTCCATTTACTCATTCGTTCGCTCGTGTGAAATTTTGTAAAATATACATGGCACCATATAATTGTATTATGTATTTAGCGTATGAAGAATCAAACTGATAATAAAAACACACATAATAACAAAAAGCGAAATAGTAAATAAATAAAGAGAGAAAAAAAAAATTATAAAATATTTTAAGTGTAAACATATAACTATGTACATTAAGATTCTCATAGAAGACGAATGGCGAACTAAAACGCAACGCATGTATACTCGTACACAAAAGATGCTAGTTAGAAAGTCTTGAAATGTCCAATTTTGCACGATAAGCGCATTTTACTAACTTCCCTCTCTCGTTATGTTATTTAATTGGCCACATTGCTGTGTGTTGTATTGCGAAAAATCATGAATATATTGCTGATGCAGCGGTACTTTGTCCTATTCTGTTATAATTCGCAAAATTTTGTTAATGAAAATTAATTGTTATTTGCCCAAATCGTATAAATATGTTTGCGCTACTTTGATATTTTAAGCAAAAAAAAAAAAAGAAAACCAACATTAACTATAAATGTTTTTACATTTTATGTAAACTTTTGCAAGAAGGCTTGACTTGAAAAGTTTTATAATTGAATGCTATCTACTAACGGCTAAATAACGTTTAATTTATAACTGTATTTTAGTTTTAAAAATCCTTAAAAAAAACGAGCTACTTTAATTTTGTATTCTATTTTATGTATCGATTTGAATATAACCGGCGGCTTTATTGATAACCAATTTATATATTTAAATAAATTATTTTAGCAACTATTTCCACTTATTGCTTGCTTTTGCTAATTTGCATTTGCTTATTTCTCATGTTTTTTTTTATTATTATGTTTATCTTCAATTAGCATAAGCGTAATCAGTTAAAAAGCGCTTAAGTACTTAAAATTTATAAATATTAATAATATTGCTTTATATTTAAGAGCAGTGTACGGGCTGTAAGTAAGGAGGATGCAAATAAGTGTGAAATGAATTATTGCATGAATAAAAGAATAAAATGATGAAATATAGTTAATATATATAATTATAATTATATATATTAAAGCATATATATAAATTAGTTACTTGCAGATATAGTTATATAAAATAAATACTACATAAATATTGATATATGCATCAAAAATATAATACAGACATTAATATTATTATTATGACGAGGAAACGGAACGTTTATGATTTCAAATGTAAGGTAAAATAAAAATGTTTTGTTTTAATAAAAAACTATATAACTTGTTTTATTTCTTACACTCGCTAACAACTTCGAAAAAAGTAAAATGTCAAGTCAGTCTTTGACCGTATAAAACTCAGCGACTGTTCCGGTTTCGTAGACCCGGCTATCGTGGGAACGAAAAATAAAAGTTTTATAGTAAAGCATTTGACTATCAGTTTTTAATTAACTACTGTTGTGGAAATCAACTTTAAAATTCTTAATAATGGCTTAATTAAAAACTGCTTCAGGTTTACCAAATATTGCTTTAATATTAAATATAACCGTTTATTATCGATAACACAAATTTATGATCGTTGTCGTCGCAAATAATCACGAAAAAGCAATATCAAGACTAGTAATGTGAAGAATTGAAAGAATAATAGAAGGAATTATGAAAATACAAGCTGAACGGTAAACTGTATTTTATTTTTTAAATTTAATTTATTTATACGAATTATAAATATTACATGAATATATTTGTAATTGCAATGTATCGTTAGTTATCGATATCTGAACCAACACATCACTTGTCGTATGGAAATGTCATATCAAAACGGAAATGGCGAAAGTTGACGAAAAAGGAATATCAGGATTAGTAATGAGAAGAGGTGAAAGCAAGAATAGTAGAAAGAATTATAAAAATTCAATTTTTCGCACTATCAGTTCGATAATATTTATACAAATATATATGTACACATATATAGTAAATATATTCATAATAAAATGGATATAAACGGTCAACGTGCACTAAAAATAAACTAGAGCTTATATTATAAAAATAATATCTGGCTTAATCAGAATTTGAAAAGCAAAGCGGAAGTTCATAAATAGAGATAAGAGCATAATTTTTATTCTGACGACACAGCAACAGCCAACTCATATACAGCAACAGTTGCTGGTGCAGTATACTGCACTGTTTTTTTGGAAGAGCAATCGCTTAAACTAATCGAACTACTAATTTCTTATTACATTTGGAGGCTCGTGGGTGGTTTATGCCAGGCAGAATAAACATGACCTCAGCCGTCGATATACAGATTGACTCGGCACCCAATTTGCATAAAATCGAGAATTTCTTTAAAGATGTGTCGTATCGTGAAACTATTGAGTTCAGTGCTAATTTTAACACGCGCTTGTGCTTAGAGCGGCGTCTACGCTTGCCCTTTTTCGATCCACAAACCCGCGTTGCTCAAAGTCATTCACATCTATTTATGGATAAAGGGCAACGAATGCCGGGGTTTCGCCAAGGGCAAATATATACATATCCGTCAACACGTTGGCGTAAAAGCCGGCGACAATATCTAAATAAAATGTATAGGTAAGTGATAACCTAGCAGAGAATCAACTTCTCGTCGTTACACAGCTTATATAATATTATATATATTTTTAATAATGTGCCGACAACGCTTTAAGGTTTCCCGATCGGCCATTTCAAGCCTTGCGCAAGGAACATGAAGCACATACAGCTATTGGCACAGCGTCACCATTAGTCAGTTCGAGTATTGCGTCGACACTCGATTCTGATTTGAATGGCACACTGCTTGATGAATCGTTATCGTTAGGCGCCGCTGGTGGCGATACATCTGACAGTAAAGATAGTCAGCAACTTGTTATGCAACAACAGCAGACGCAACAAGCTATTAAGGAGGACATGTCGAAAGAATGGTTCTATGATGACATTGAAATGAACGAGTTGGATGCAATAGAAGAGCCCAAATCGCCTGCTGATGATGAATTTGACTATGATCCCCGTTATGGTAGTAAAAAGCGACGAAAACGGCGTCCAAGTAAACGTGCCTCGACTGCTGCCGCTGAGGGGGGTGTTGGTGGTGGTGGTAGTGGCCGTCGTCGTGGCCAACGTGGACGAACTTCAGCTGCTGCTGCCGCCGCTGCTGTTGCAGCTTTATCTGATGCCTCACTCTCCACATTCGATGCAACCGATTGTAACAGCAGTAGCTTAACCGGTGACATTACAGCAACACCGACCTCGACAACTAGCAGTGGTCGAAAATCGCGTGGTACTGGCGGCACGCGAGGCCGACGCCGCACAAAAGTCAACACTGCAAATATCTGTGATCCACCCAGTCCGGGTTTGAATAGTGAACCACCGTCCTTCGAGAGTGCTGCAGCGCTTGTTAGTGTAATGGGTGATTTGACAGGTGTGAATGTGAATGATGAACAAGGTGATTTAAGGAACTATCGCAAATTTCTGTAACAATATGACAAGAATGTGAACTGCGAGAGCATGTGTGTGGTTGTTGCTGATGAAAAGCTTAAATCCGAAGCGAACTGTTTGTTGGATATTTAGTTGTTGTCCACATATTACTATGTATGTTCACACACACGACGTAACGTTTTGTACCTTGTTGCCTGTTAGCGTGTTTTTTATTCACATAAGTTTACACTATAATCCGCAAGTTTTCTATTTCATCTTCAACACATTTTCGTTTGAATGCGAAATTATTATATTCTGCGCATAAAGAATTTAACTTTTAACGGAATTTTCGAAACTTTATTAGAAATTTGTTTTATATTTTCCTTTAAAAATTTCAAATATATACCAAAGCAAAAGTAACCATGTTTTAGAAAGGTAACGGTTATTTTTTATTTTGCTGTGTCGTTGTTTAATATAATGACTTCAAATTTGTAAAGCGGTTAAAATACTACATTGAATTAAATTTTTCATACAGGTGGCTATGCAATGATAGATTTGTTGTTATTTTTATTACAGACATATAAGCTTGTTATTATACATACATACATATTTACATATTTGCAGCAATAAACTAAATAATAGAGCGCTAAATACATATTTTTGTTGTTGTGCGTAATTCAATAGCATATTTCAATAGAAAATTTTATTTTTTGTTACTTAAATAATCAATAACTACGAAATAGTTAGCAAAATGAAATGATATTTTGTTTTACATATATTTATTTGTGCAAGAAATTTGCATACGTTGTATTTAAATGGCAAGGAATTGTTAAAAAAATATACATAAAAGCGGTTTCTATTGTATAAAATACACTTGTAGATATGGATATGTACAATATCTATAATTTTCTGAAAATATTTACATAAGCGCGCTAGGTAGTACGAATACAAACATACATTTAAATATGTTTGTACACTAATTGAATTTTAATAAAATTACACGATTTAATATGTAATTTTACAAAACAAAAAAAAAAGTAATAATATTCGAAACACAATTTTACAAAACCATTTTGGAATATTATCGATGTGTGAAAATCAAATCAAAAATAATATTATATAAGTTATTACTATGAAGTCATTTTGTAATTGTTATATAAATTTAAAAAAAAATATAATTATTATTTAGAAATTACTTTACTTACACTTAGCTGTTTCTTCATAATTCATAGAGGCGTTGAAATGTTATATAGTAAGCACTTTTCACACATTTACCGTTATTAGATATTTATAAAATAAAATAACCAACTCTTTGTCACTTAACTTTTGTTTTAAGATTCGCTGTGCTATTCATTATTAAGGTTTTATTTTCAAAAACAAAAAAGAAAAAAGAACAAAAAAAGAATACAAACTTCTTTGACTGGCTGTAAACCTATGAAAACAAATTGTCCATTAAATATTTTCATGAAACATATTTATGAAGATAAATCAAATTTGATTGTAGCGCTCAATTGAAAATAGCCACAATTACGAAATATTTGTATACACACATATACATACATATGCAACTTTTTATGAAAATTATACCAAACAAAATTTAATATTTTAGAATTTATGTGTAATAAATTTATACACAAATTGTAAAAAATAAAATATGCACATTTTTAGTTATCAAAATTACTTAATTGTATGTGAAATAAAAAAAAAAAACATTAAAAATACTGAATTTTTTGCATAAATATTATTTCTATACAAATAGCGAGTTCGTTTACACGACGATAAATCACTTTTTCTACTGTGATTTGCATGTTTAGTACTTTTGTACCGTTATTTTAATTTTTCACGCATTTTTTGGTATTCAGGCATTTTTTATAGACTTTTTAATATGACTTGCATTATACAAAAGTATTCAGCTTCTTCAGATAAACGCTACAGCTCTAAAAAAACATAAACAAAAACACCAAATAATAATAAATGGCAACCTCATTTAAATATATTTACATTCAGTATTGATTTCACGCAAATATTTGCATCAAAGTGCTTAAATAATTCCTAATTGCCTTCATATTTAATTTTGTTTTTCTTAATGCATTCACAAAAATAATTAATTAATATATAAAACATTGCAATCAAGTATTTAGCACAAATATGCAAGGGAAGTCGCGCCAAATAATTGCTTGGCGCATAGAAATGCCAAATCCCAAGGGACTGTGTGCTAAATAAATCGTTAATGTGTGGCGACAAGATTCTCAAGCATCTCGTAAATCTTCACAGAAGTATATGCAACAGAACTCATGCACACACACATGCATATATTATATATATATTTATATATATATACTTGTATACATATATCTAATGCATTAGATGCCTATAGCTATAAAACACTTTTAATGTGGCCGCAAGTTTGCAAAAAAAAAGAATACTGGGACGCCACTAAATGATCAACAACATAATTCTTTATGTTGCGGATTTCGTATGTATGTGTGTATGTAAATAGATATTCCAAATAGTTTTATGAATTCTTTTACCTTTCGCGAATAAAAACCAATGAATGAGCCCTGAAAGGCCATTTTGTAAAAACAATAAAAACTACGAACGGTATTAAGGGGGTATACTAGTGTAGAATTTCAAAAAAATCGATTTTATCATATTTTCAAACTTTAAATATTTAAGAATATGTCTACGCGAGGATTTTTGAAAATGTAAATTATTTTCGGAGATATAGACATTTTACTGACCCGCCCTCCAAAGTGGTTCGGCTGGGTCTAATCGAACAAAAGACTTTACGCGAAACTTTAAATGCGTTTTTTTCAGACCAGACTTTTTCAATACGATACCCACAATTTCTTGAGTTATACTATACCGATTTACTAGAAATTTTTTTGAGAATCTTCTCTATAAACCTCTCTCGAATATGAACCTCATACCCAAATTTCAATTTTTACTATTTTTAAAAAATACGAGAAAATAAAAATATGGTAAAAATAATCTTTTTTTTTCAAACAGTCGCCATTTTGTCAAATTTTTTTTTTACTTAATGCTAGTTCATACAATTGCGACATCATTGCAGATTGATAACCTTTTTTTTCATTTCCGTTGACTAGAAGGGTTGAAATTATAGGTATGGTCATGTGGCAATTTTTTGATACCCCCCTTTTCATCAGCTGCCAGTTTTTTAAATTTTTAACTTTTTTCCAACTTTTTTTTTTTTTTTTAACTTTTTATTTACGCTAGTCACATTTATTAATGTAAATAAAAGTAAAAGTAACTGATAAAAAAATCGATTTTAAAAATATTGGTTATCTCTTTTTTGTACGACACTTTAAAAATTACCTAAAATTCATATCTTAGACCAGAATACCCTCTTAAGAAAGGACTGAATTGAAAAATTAATATACACATACGAGTACGGCTCGTTCCAGTTATTGTACGTTCTCTCGCCTTATAAAGAACTCCATTCCAGCTATATAGTTTCTATCAATGGGCATCTCGGTGGAGCTGTTAAAGTTAGACTATACGATATGAATACCATTGTTTTCATCGAGAAAAAATATGTTCAAACCCCAGTAGGAGATTTAAAAACTGGTATAGCAGTTTTGTAGGAACGAGTTCAAAGAATCTCTTGTTTTACTCATACTGAATAAAAAAAAAAAGAAACAAGGAAAACGATAACTTCGGCTGCTTCCGAAGCTATAGTATCCTTCACGACTGCATTTCTTATAGCAAAAAACGATATAAAAAGATCTTTATCTTGATTTTAAACGATCAGTTTGTATAACAGCTATATGCTATATTTCTCCGCAGATTGTAGCGATGCCTTGGATAATAAACTGTACCAACATTCGTGCAGATATCTTGCCAAATAAAAAAGTTTTCCATACAAAAACTTGATTTCGAACGATAAATTTGTTAGCCAGCTTTATTCAATAGTGGCCCGACATCGGTGGTTCCGACTAATGAGCAGCTTCTTGTTGAAAAAAAGACGTGTGCAAAATTTTAGATTAATATCTCAAAAACTGAGAGATTAGTTCGCGTATATGCAGACGGACAACATGACTAAATCGACATTTTTTTTCAAGGTATAAACATCAGAGTTGGTTGAAGTTGACAAAAACAATTGTTTATACGAAAAAAAAATATTATTTTTCTAACAACAACAAGTTGTTGGAGTTTGATGGCAGCAGGCGAAAAGAAGAGTAATTAATAAAAACAAGAGATCACGAATAGAATTCAATTAAAAATTGCCGTGGTTTAGAATGAACTGTTGTTATTACCAAATAAAAAGTGAGGTTAAGTTAGAGAACTATTTTCCTCCTATTTAGTTTTTTTTTTCTTTCTGTATATCAAATTCTTTCTTTTAGCACTTCTCCAGTTGATAAATATACCTTTTAAATGACCTAACTATTATTTTATGTAAACTACTTTTTGAAACTAAGTCTCTTCAGTTAAGATTTTTTGAATTATTATGAATATTTTAGAATTACTCACGGTTGTGTGAGCCTTCTTGCAATAAACTTTAGGACCACTGTGTACATGATACCCGTTATTTATTAATTAACTTGCTAATTGACTAAATTAATGGGCTAGCTGAAGCAAATATAGTAGGGCGGTATTCATTAGTACGATGCCAAAACAGCAACAACATACCTTATATCACTAAAATTCTCAAAAAAAAAAGAAGCGCTTTCTAAAGTTACGACGTCACTCGACTACATTGTCGTCGCCATGTCAACAATGTGGTGTTCCCAATATTGGTGCCGGCGCCAGCTATGAGTTATTGCGATCCGGCTCGCTGAAGAATTCCGCAGTGACAGTGGCAGGTAAAGAGATTGCAGGGGTGGGTGTATTAACGCCGATGGCACGCATTTTCTGTTGTTGTTTTGGGTTAAGGGAAAAAATAAATAAATAAACTTGGGGGGGAAATGCGTCTATTTTAAGGTGCTGAAGCATTAGGATTGCGCACACGGTGCTGCTGCCAGCCTGCATTCCTGCACTTCAACCGTGTTTAGGCGCTTATGATTGTCATCAACAAATGCAAAAGCAAATTTACAGCAACCACACATACAACACGCCTACATACATTTGTACATATTTATAAGTGAGTATGTCTGTGATATTGCGGCGCGCGTCGTTCATACCATAGTTTTGGCAAGAATGCACCACGTTTTTGGATCAACATTGCCAAAGTTAAGTCATTTGGCGTTAGACCTATTTTTAGCAGGTGCGCCGACGACGATGATGACGACGACGCCGGCGTCACAAAGGAATCCGTCGACGTTGTTTGTTGTTAAACACTCAGAAAATATCTGATCGTAAATAGCAAATGCGACTAATGAGAATGATGCAGACGCAGCTTTTAGAAACCGCCGCCACTCACTTAACGATTAAGTTCAACAAACTAGTTGGCATTTGGCAGCGGAACCGCGGGCTGATTGTTTAATATGTTTTTTCAGTGATCGTATAGTTTTGATAACAATGCGTGAGGTCAACAATGGAAAGCGCAGCTGTGATCTTTTACACTTGAAAAATTGCCAAGACTTTACTTCCTTACTTGCGGAGTCGAAAAATAGAAAGGAAAATGCGTAAGCATTTCTATTTTCATTAAAATTTAGCATCGAACATTGAACTCGGCGATTGTTTTGGTTAGTTGAAAGGTAAATTTCACGTGCGAGATTTAAGAAATTCTTTGTCAGCCACCGCATATGATTGTTAGTACCAACGTTTTCGACGTCAACAGGATTAGAGCACCGAAAAATGGCCCTTGACTCGCGCTGTCGTGGAAGCGCATGATTCTTAGTGTAGTAAAGCCTTCAGCTAATTAAGGTGCTAAGTGGTTGTAATACCGTTATCACTTCTTATATCCTTTGCATTACGTTTGGTACCAGTTTTTCCTCACAATATTATTCTCGCTGTATTAGTTGTTGTGAAACTTTATTTAGAAAGAGTGAAATTAATTTATAGTGTAATAAATATAAAGGAATATACGTTATATCCGGTTAATGAAGTCACCACAGTAAAATCTTGCAACAATTTTGAGTCTCTTTGTGCAACAAACCCCTAAGGATAAGAGACGCTATAGTGGACTTTTTAAATCTTCGAATCAAGAACTCTGTTTCCAGGGAAGGCTTGTACACATATTGAAAAAGTATATAGCTTTAGGTCTATGAAATCACACTCAAAGCAATTTGGTAAATGTTCTAACGATACAACGACAAAAACATAGATATAGTTGTAATGTGCTTTTTTTGTGCTTGATATAATGAACTTTTTCAGCCCACAAACTCTTCAACTTTCCATCTAGACAAATTCTGTGAAAAAATATTTAATTATGCTTGTCTTTCTTTTTGGCTTCTAATTCTAGGTTTTACGTGCAAAAATCTACTACACGCGCTTTTAATAAAACAAATAAAGACCACAAAAATTTACAAATTTACTAAACACAACTATTATACAGACGTTCATTACGATTATGGCCACATCTGCATTTGCACCTCATTGTATTCATTTGCTGTGTATAGGGAATTTAGGAACGTCAACATTTGGTGGAATGTGGAATTTAGCGCACATTCACTAAAACGAGCCCTGTGTGCCCATTCACTTGCCTAGCAGCATCAGTATATTCGTTAGTGCAACACAGCCAGCTGCCGCGAGACATCCATTCCACTTAGCCGATGGCTGCGCACGCTCTCGTTCGATTGAGTTGTTTGTGTTGAAATTTAAAGATCGCGTAAATCCGTTTGGGGTTTTTGCACTTCGCCTCTATCGGCGCTTCAATTGCAGATACGTTATATGTGTATAAAAATACTGCGGATTATTTTTAAAATCAGCGTGCATATTCGCATTCTTGCATATCCCACACACACAAGCATCGACGCGTACGAACGAGCACGCACTGCCAATGCGCGTCCACTGTAATGTAATGCACTAACAAATTTGAATTCACAAGCGGAAAATATTTCCGATGTAAAATTAGTACACAATTAGCTGTATTATTGCGCGATGATATATCTCAATCGCTTGTTTTTATTAGTCATTTCAGAATTTAATGCATTCATTACCGATTTTTATTATATATTTTTATTTTTGACTGCACATAAAGTGTTCAAAATACTACGATATTTTTAGTATTTGTTTTTGGGATATGCATTAGAACTATATGTATGTGTACCGAAAGAATTTATATTGTTATTAAATGTAGGTATATTTATTAGTCAACTTACCTGACGACACTTAACGCTTTGTTATAGATGAACATCCTTGAAAAACTGTACGCTCGACCTATGGATAGAGGGTAACTGATGGTAATCGAATTCCTGTAACCCTTTTTGTTTACGCAGAAGGAATTTACGCAAATGGGAAGGTCGTCAGCTTTGAGCTCGACTTGCAGCAGCAATATCAGCAACAAAATTAAATGTGAAAATGAGTCGGCTACCATATATTTATAAAGAGCTAACTTGATGTAAGTGAGCTATTTATCAACCTTGACTAATCAGATTATTTTGTCCAATAAAACATATACACAAATTGATATTAACTATTTACTCAATAAAATCAAAATTTCTTCCAATTTGTATCCGGCGCGAAATTAAAATACCGGAACTCCAATAGTAATACATAAAAAGTCAATTTTCAACAGACTAAGCAAATGTCAACCAATAAGCTCAATAAACATGGCTTAGCGTTACCAATAGCTTTTGAACCACGAATTTGCGCAGCTGTTCAGAATGCATTTAAATTGCTAATTAATTGTATACTTCACGCATTTTATAAATAAAAAAGTATTTGAGCTTAGTTATTTGAGCAATTTCTATTAGATTTTTTCGAATATAATTTTTATTTTCATTTTGTTAACAAAATATAGTTACAACATTTCTGCCCAATTGGCTCTTCCAATCGTAAGCTATAGTTGCCACTCGCTTCTGTCTTATTTTCATTGCAGTATTTGAAAATGTCTCAATTACCAAATGCAATTGAAATTGGTTGGCAACACCGCAAGAATCTGCAGCTGTCAGCGAAATGGCGCTGCTAAGCATGAAGAGAAAAATGTTGAGGCATTCGAAAATCACTCTTTGTACATTAAAGTTGGAATGAATGTGGAAAGCGGACGTTGCACAAAACATGTTTTCTTAAATCTAAATCTGGTATTAAGTTTTTCGGAATTAAAAAACTATCGGTTTGGTGAAGAAGTGAATAAAGTGTTGTTTGGAGTAGAGAAAACCGATTGAATTGCTAAAGTTTCAATATAATCGTGGTATCAATTTTGAGAAATCACATTCTGATAAAAAAAAAACTCTGTTGCTAATTCGGTCGCTCGCCCGCCTTTCGTCGCGTTGCGTTGTTTGTAAAACGAAAACAAGGAGAACGAGCAAAGAAGAAAATTTAAATAAGTTGCAACTTCACTCCTGCTGTTAACAATTACCGCAACGATTCAAAACCTTAATCATTTTCTAAGTGTGTGTTAAAATATTTTGACAATTTCTAAATCGAATGAAGGATTTGTGTTGCAGCCAGTGCATAGAACACAATCTAATTGTATTGGAGACAAAATTCTATTAATGAAGGTAGTTAGTTGAAACTCAAAAAATGTTGAGTTAACCCACGAAAGTACCAAGTGTAGAAACGAACGTACGAACAAACGAATGGAAAACGAAAGCTGTAAAAAGTAGAAGATGTAGTAGAGCAAAAGAAGAAGTGGTTAAATTGGATGCGAAATAAAACGTAACTGGTAGACAACGAAAAATATAGTATACGTACATAAAACAGTGAGGAAACATATAACATATCAGTGAAGCTGAAGAATAATTTAAAACCAGAATAGCAAATTTGAAACAAGTTTGCATTCCGCAATTTACCATACAAATTGTGTGTTTTGTGAAATTGCAGCGTGTATTGAAACACCAATGAAATTCACATCTCTGATTCATCCTAACAGTTATAAAAATATAAATAAATAAAAAAATTACACTGCACTCTCGCTGTGTGTAATCTTTCGAAATTAACTCCACGCTAACGCAAAAATAAAAACAAAATAAATTTATTTCAAATACCTATCAAATAGTGTCTGCTCTAAAGTTGTTACTGCTGCATCATTTAATTTAACATAAAATCAACGAAAATAAAAAATTATTACCTACCTGAAAATATAAAAATAATTTAGTGTACGCGTGCGCGCAGCAAATAAATGTTTCAAAAATCCTGCTAAAAAGTGTAAAGGTTAATCGGAATTTCTTATATTTGCATAAGCAATTTTTCGCGATTACTGTGAAGTTTCACTTTGTTGTGTGTTAAAAAAAAATAGCTAAAAAATTTTGTCATTTTAACATTGAACGACAAGTAAACAAAATGTTTACGGAAGGCATTTTCCCGATTGGTGATGGTCTCTTGGACATCAATGAGGATCGGCTTAAAGAGCTGTTGGTTGCGGACGATATTAATGAAATATACGAATTGGAACAAACACCATTTGCCAGGTGAGCATGCGCATGTATTGTACATGCATATAACACTAAGGGTAGCTCTGTTTTTATACTATTTTATTAATGGAAATGGTTTCTTTTAGTGTGCGCAAAAAAATATTTTGTTTCTTTAGTACGAGCATTTCTCACGTGTATATGTATATTTCGAAAATATTTATGGTTTGCTATATTTGTCGAGGTTTGCAAAAAGAGTTTCAAGAAATTTTCTAAAAGCTGATCTTTGAAGTAAAATTAAGTTGTGTCGCTCCAACACCATTTAGAACGGTATTAAAAATTTTAAAACCGGTATAATATAAATTTTTAATCAATTCCGTCATTGCTAAATTTAATTCAAAATCATAAAAATGCGAAAGATATCAATTAGCTGGTAATTTTTCGCTGCTTCTTACCACAAGAGTAAGCAACAATTTCGTATTTATACACATTTGTACTTTTAATAGCTATAGGAATATTATTGGAAGCGTATTAGGAATGTATGAACATACATAAATACATATATATATGTATATGTATGTATGTACATATGTATGTATGTGTTGTTATACATATGTACTATAACTGGTTAGCACGCTAAGCTCTTTTAATACCTAGTCTTACCAACCTTACTGGCAATCAACGTCCGCAAAGCAAAGCATCCATTCATTTAGCCAAGCAAACGGTTAGTCAGTTGGACAAATCAAATTGCCGTAATTCTTTTTATATGCGATTTTATTTTGCTTTGTTAGCAATTTTTTGCAACTTGTTGTTCGGTAGCTGGTGACCATGTTTTTTTTTGTGTTGTTTTGCCATTGCATGCTGAATTTGTTAGCTTAGCACAGTCACATTTTAGTGAAGCAGACAAATATCTTTAGCTAGCAGTTATTGTATATATTTGTCATTGTACATACATACATACATACATACATATGTATGTCTATCTATCTATTTATGTAGGTATGTATGTGCAGAAGTATTTTTGAGCGTTTCAATTGCTTTATCATCACTTTTAATATCACAGCTCTAGACGTATTATAATAGTACTTAACGGTTGGAATTTTATTTTATATTATTTTTTATTAAACAACTTCTGTGTCTTTTTTTCGCACAATATTGTTTTCTGCGCAAAAACGTTATGTACAATTATTTATGGATCAAATTAGCAGTTTTGTAATGGATGTGCCGAAATTAACGCAATATTGCAATTAAATACAGGGTGTTCTAAAATTAACGCCAAATTTTAAATTTGTCGCCATTTATGTAGTAAAGTGTTGACAATACAAAAATGTAGCGTTACACGATGAAACAATGTCTCTTCATTATTAAACAATATTTCAAATATTATATAATGAAAGCTTGGCGGCCGCAGTTCAAAAATTTCATAAAAACGTAGTCGGAATAGTACTTTAACTATTTTTTTTTAATATTTTTTTTATTTAATTCCAATCTTATGTTACTTTTGTGACACCCTTTATGTTCCTCATTAAATAAAAAAAATTAAATTGAATAAAAATATAGACTAGCATTTTCTTTAATATGATGCCTGCTGGTATGCATTCTTAACAGATATTTGTTAATTTATTGCACAAATTAGAAGCGCTAATCAAAAAAAGTGTTAACAGCTGGTTTCGCATTGTTGCTGTTTTTTTTGTTTGTTTACTTGTGAATATGCTTGACATTTTCGGTTTTTACGTAGTTTCCTCACCTTTATTCTGTACTCTGTTGCTTCGAAATTCGTGCACATATGTATCCACACATGTCTTGTTATTTATATGTATATACATAGGTATGTACATATACATATGTATGTATGTAACCTGTGTATCTATAAAAAAAATGGATTCATTTATATATACTTCAAGTTTCTAACCTCGTGTTTGCATCTTCGCTGTCAACTGTAAAGCAATTAAGCTCTAGTATTTACGAGTCGTTGGAATTTTATCAGCATGAGATAATGGGCATGCAAATACAAACTCTACCTGCATTGTTATTACATATTTTTGCGTTCTACGTTATTCCAAAAGCAAAATATAGAAATAGAGACACAAGTGTAAAGTCCAAAAAATAGTTAGAATTTGCTAAGGGTTTATATCGCCTAATGAATTTCAAAAAATAGATTTTTTAGTTATATATCGAATGTACTATATATGTTTGAAAATATTCTCCAAAAATTTAAATTTGATCCGGCAAATAGTTTCGGAAATATGAGCGTATTTATAAGAATTTTTTCAACTTAGTATATTTGGCTACCAAGCTTCAAAAGCGTTTTTCTCGAAACTCTGTTTCTACCGAATTGAAATTTTCACACGACATTCTTAGTTATATTTGTCAGGTATTTATTGAAAAAATAATATTTTTCATAATAATTTCGATTTTTAAGTTTAGGAAGGTTAATGTTTTTTTACCATCATTCTATTATTATTTCCTTCCTATTTTACAAAACCTGCTTTAACCGAAACGTGGAATTAACAGCTTTCCAACTCAGCGGCAGATTTAGTAAAACTTCAGCTCTTTCAACTTACAAATGTTTTACTGTGTACGTTATGCCAGCATAGAATAATTAGATTTCTGTTAATCTGGCTACACACTTCAGCGGCAATTTACATTTTTAATGAGTATATGCATAAATAAAATAACAGCACATACCACATATTTGTCAAAATGCATTAAATTTCATAAATGAAATTAAGAACAGCACGACAGAATATTACAAATTGCTGACAACAGGAAGTCAATGCCACCACTTGTGGCCAATACAAGCGCGGTGAGTGACGTGTTGTCGATTGGCGAGCAACGAGCAGCGAGTGCGTGTTTACATAGCTACTTCGTTTCGACTGTGGGCATTGCTATCATATTTTCTAATTAAGCCAAGCTTGGTAACCGCTTTGACAAGTTACATTGTAGACACTAAGATTGAAATGCACAACCTACTATTCGTGTTTGTTGAAAGGTTTGCTTAAGCAACTTTTATGAAACTCGGTTACCATATATTTTAGATAGAACATTAAATAATCTGTATATAATATTTGAAAAATTAGCAGCATTTTTGAAGAGCTAAAATGCACTATATACTTTAAAATTTTTTCTTGTAATCGATAATTTATCGACTTTAGATATATTGTAAACACATTTATTTTAATAAATAAATAAATAAAACAAGTGTTTTTACAGATTTTAATGCAATTTCATAATCGGCGTTTAATTTTTAAAAATTTTGAATTCACATGATCCCGTAGCTGAAGTCCGGAAGGACCTCAGAAAAAAGGTGGCTGGCGGTGAGGAAGATTTTTCTGTCTAAAATTCTCTCAATTCTAAAAACAAAAACAAAAAGTATTAAAATAGACGAATACAGGCATCGAAAAACTAATTGAAGTTTAAATTTTTGTTTTTCAAAATGTTGGTTTCCAAAGTCGTTTTATGTGAAAAACTGAAATTTAGTGCAGTCGCTAAAAAAATCGAAATTATTATCGAAAATTTATGCATTCGATTATTACCTGGCAAATACATATATCTGATTGCTCAAGTAGTTTCTTTCGAAATTTTCCTCACCGATTCAGAAAATAGTGTTTCGAGATATTATGTTTCGTTTAAAGTTTTGGAAGCCAATTTTACTAAGTTAAAATATTTTTGCAAATACGCTCATATCCGAAACTAATTGCCAAATAAAAACAAAAATATGTACATTTGATTTCTATGCAAAAAGAAAAATCGTTTTTTTGAAATTCACTAGTGGATTTAACCTCAAAAATTTGCGAAATTGACTGTATTTTCAAAAAAACTATTCAGTATTATTAAATATATTATATAATTATAACTAAACCATTATGCCAAGCATAGCACACGTGTACAGTGATTTAGAAACAGTATCACCGGTACTAAGGTTTTTACTAAATGACCTTCAAATGCCATCAATCGAAGCAACCTACCGAAACCCAAAAATGCAGCCATTATCTGCTTTTATTATTTCCCCTCCTTTGCGTTGTTGCCACAAAAACACAATTCCAAACATTTTAAATTTTAATTTCAACTAAAAAAAATATACATATATGTATATAAAATGTCTAGTCTGCATCAATTTCTTCTAATGTCTGGACGAAAACCTGCTATAACAAAGAAGCTGCAAAGTAAAGGTAGAGAGACAGTCAATGGAAGCTGTCGGATTTCGGCTGCCAAAAGCGAAAACTGAAGCAAGCAAAAGCGAGAAAATAAGAAAAAATCCAACAATGGCATCAGTAACAGCAACAACAACAACAAAAATAACAATAACTCTTAAAAGAAAGTCGTAAAATGAAACTGCAGTCCAGTTAAAGACTAGGTACTATGCATTGCGACGCGCCGGCTACAAGTCCATGCGGTTCGCTGCTAGCGTCATTTGAGCTGGTCAGACAACGTCGTTAGCAGCGCGGCAGCTGAAACAGCAACAATAACTGCCAGTCCAACTTGAAAGCCACAACAACAATTCGCTGCAGCAAGCAGCAAAGCAACAAGACCAGTACATTAAACCAGACCCGGCTCAACCAGTGCCCGAACGAGCGCGAACAACTGCAAAACAAGATACTTTTTTGTATTGTTTTAATACTTTTAGTATTTTGTTATACTCTTTTCTTTTATTGTTTTTTTTTAATTTCTTTTGTATTTTTTTTTATACACACACAATCTTTCGCAATAAGCTGAATTAGTAACGAAATTGAGTTAATTCACACATAAACTGTTACTTCTTGCCCCTTTGCTTAATGCCCAGTTATTTGTCATTTATCGTTCTTTGTGAGTTTCGCAATACTTGCTGTTTTTCATAATTGTGGCAGAGCGGCGTTGATGACTCCTCTTCTCAAAAGGCTACAAAATGTATCGACTTTGGTTTCTGCCATATCAGCTGTATGCTATATTTTCACTTCCATACATTTGCAATGTTTTATATGTGCTTATGTTTAATTTGCAAAAATTTGCATCATTTTCTATTGGCTAGTTGTTCGTCGTTGTCCGTGCTGTTGCTGAAGCTGAGCTTTCGGCGTAACTTT